TAATTTTTTTAACAACAAATAATAATAATAATAATAATTTTTCTTATATTATATATATATATTTATATATATATATATATATATATATATATATATATATATATATATATATAAATAAAAACAACATTTATAATAATAATTATAAAATATTCTAATAATAATCTTATATTTCTTTATTTTATTTTATTATATTATTTAAAATATATATATATATCGCATTATATTGACACATTTAATTTCGAACTGTTTACTCCGACATCAAAAAAAAAAAAAAAAAAATTTGTTTTGGGGGGGGCATTGGGTAGAAGTAGTACCTTTGTTGCTCATCTACTGTACCTTATTTTTTAAGGGTAACAGGCAACACTGGTCTTCACCCATCCTCTAAATCTCTCATATATATATATATATATATATATATATATATATATATATATATATATATATGATATATAAACTACATCCGGTCTTCTCATCCAGCAAAGTCTTCTCATCGGGAGATTGGAGGATTTGAGGAGCGTGGAACCACCTTTTAATTGCTGTTGTTCCCAGGTCCGCCCTGACCCGGGGTGGTAGCACCTGTTAGGGTCCCAACTATGGGCAAATAGTGTCTACCAGGGCTGACCAAGCTCTTTAGTGTTATAGAACACGATTGGTCTAGGAGATGGAAAACTCTTACACGAAAAAGCCTGAGGTATATTGTCTGCTTCGTCTGTGGCATTTATTTGCACCGACTAAGTGTATCAATAGTTCCGAAAAGTGTGGATGGTTCTGCACAAGCCTTCACCACTTTAATCAAATCACTTGTGTGGGTTTTCTGGCGGTTTACCTTGATTCGTTCTTATCCACACAGTTCACTTGCAAGGTCCGCTGGCGAGAGAGTGAAGGCGACGGGGTCAGGTAAAGGATATTACTGGAAGGCTCTAGCTGGAGCTCTACACAGTGGCAGACCGATGGGTGATGGCCGTTCTTTCACAAACCCATGAGCAATTGTGATGTCCGTGTCCTCCATCGGTGACAAAGCAGCCCTATTTAGGATTGCACTGCTTTCCCTATTATGGGGAGGGGGCGATAAAAGGAGCCCTAAACATTGCTTGCTCACACAGAGACTTGGCAGCCCGCTGCAGCTGTCTGGTTATCCAATAAAGCAGTCGAAACAGCAAGAAAGATCAGAATAAATATAAGAAGAATTTCCATTTTGGATCCTGGAATGTTCGCACTCTTCAGGACAATGATTCTGCACCAGAGCGTAAAACAGCTCTTGTTTCTCTCGAGTTGAAGAAATATAACATCGACATAGCGGCCATTAGTGAAACACGTCTGGCTGGTAATTCTCAGCTTAGGGAAGAAAAAGGCGGATACGTATTTTTATGGGCTGGCAAGACTGAGAAAGAGCCACGCCAGTCTGGTGTTGGCTTTGCCATCAAGTCAGACCTTGCTAGCTCACTGCCTTCCTTACCTAAAGGTGTATCTGATCGCATAATGGCATTAACCCTCAATCTGGAGTGCAACACCCGTGTGACGATGGTTAGCTGCTACGCGCCAACCTTAGGTAGTTCAGATGAAGAAAAAGATGATTTTTACAATCTCCTTCGGGATGTCATCTCCAAAGTCCAACATAAGGATAAATTAGTCCTTACAGGTGATTTCAATGCTCGTGTTGGCAATGATTATCATTCTTGGAAGGGCGTTTTAGGTCACCATGGTATTGGTCATGTGAATTCTAATGGATTACGCCTTCTCACTATCTGCAAAGAATTTGACCTTAGTATCACTAATACCTTCTACCAGCAACCCAGCTGTCGTAAGACCACGTGGATGCATCCTCGTTCGAAAGACTGGCATCTGATCGACTACGTCATCACCAAAAGACGGGACATAAAAGATTTTAAGATAACGCGTTCATTCCACACAACATGCTATCTGTCAGATCACGCTCTACTTCGAAGTAAAGCTACACTGCATCTGCAAAAGCGAAGGATTATAAAATCTACAGTGCCCAAGCGCATTAACGTACTGCCTCTTAAATCGACTGAAACGAAAATTGAGCTCTCTGACAAACTTGATGCTGCACTTGATTCTGTAAACATTACCAATGATATCGAATCATCTTGGAAAGCTCTGCGTGATGCAACATATTCTACATCCTTGGAGGTTCTCGGCCTGCCACATCGTAAACATCAAGACTGGTTTGATGACAATAATACAGAAGTTCAGCAGCTTATAGATCAATTGCACTCTTCTCATAAAGCATGGATTGAGGACAAGAACTCGTCCGATAAGAAGATCGCTTACAAGAAGTGCAAAAGTCAGGTTCAACGAGCTCTCAGAGCCATGAAAGAGCGTTGGTGGTCTGAAAAGGCCACTGAACTCCAAGAAGCTTCAGATAGAAAGGATCTAAAGGCTTTCTATGCTGGCCTCAAGAGCATTTTCGGTCCTCAGAAAAGTGGTGTTGCTCCAATCTCCACAGCAGATGGTGAAACTCTCTTGACGGATAAGTCAGACATTTTAAATCGCTGGAAAGAGCATTTCGAAACTGTGTTAAACACCACTTCGGTTACTGATGAGGAAGCCATCACATCAATTGAGCAAAATCCTGAAATTCCGGAGTTGTCTTTTGAACCTACCTATCAAGAGGTAATTGACTCCATCAAGCAAATCTCATCTGGAAAATCACCTACTCCTAAGGATCCTATTCCACCCGAAGTGTATAAGCATGGTGGCCAAAAGTTGGTAAAAAAGTTACATCTCCTTTTTGTGGAGATATGGAAGGCAGGCTGTGTCCCACAGGATTATAAAGACGCCTCTATCAAACACCTCTACAAAAACAAGGGTTCCAGGTGTGTCTGTGATAATCATCGGGGGATATCACTACTTTCAATTGCAGGCAAAATCCTAGCTAGACTGATTCTAAACAGAATCATTATACACCTTGTTGACGACATCTATCCTGAATCGCAGTGTGGTTTTCGGTCGGGTCGTGGCACCATTGACATGATATTTTCTCTTCGTCAAGTTGCAGAGAAGGTTCGCGAGAAAAACCAGGAGTTGTACATGGTGTTTGTGGACTTGACGAAGGCCTTTGACACTGTGAATCGAGAGGCTCTTTGGCAAGTCTTGAGGAAACTCGGCATCCCTGAAAACATGCTAAAGGTCATCATCTCCTTTCATGAAGGAATGAAAGCTAATATCGTGTCTGATGGTATGATGTCAGAATCCTTTGATGTCACAAATGGCACCAAGCAAGGTTGTGTCATGGCCCCTGTCCTTTTTGCCCTTTTCTTCTCAGTGATGCTGAAATATGCATTTGCAGACACAGAGAGTGGCGTCAAGTTTCAGTTTCAAACAACTGGTGGTCTCTTCAATCATCAGCGCTTCAAAGCCAAGACCCACCTTCGTACGCAAATTATTCGTGATTTGTTGTTTGCTGATGATGCTGCTCTTGTAGCGACATCCTTTGAGGAGGCCCAACATCTAATAAATCGTTTCTCTGCTGCATGTAAAGCCTTTGGTCTTACACTTAGCATAAAGAAAACTGAAGTAGTGCACCAACCTTGTCCTACTCCAAAGCAATTCTGTGGTGAGAAACAAAAACCACCAGTCTACAAATTTCCAGAGAGACCATTGAAAGTAGAAGACAAAGCCCTGAACTATGTAAAGTCTTTCACCTATCTTGGTAGCAAAGTCAACTACAGTGGAACTTTAGATGATGAAATCATGCATCGGATTGCTAAGGCTACCAGTGCTTTCGGCAAACTTCGCCATCGCTTGTGGAATGAGCGGGGTATTCGACTGGATACGAAAATTCGGTTTACAGAGCTGTTGTACTTGCCATCCTTTTGTATGGCTCAGAGTCGTGGACTCCATACAGGTACCATATACGCCAGCTGGATGTTTTCCATAAAAGCTGTCTGCGTGCAATCTGTGGAGTTAACCTTCAAGATAGGACATCTAACGTAGACCTGTTTAACAGGTGTAATATTGGAGGAATCGAGACTTTTCTCATACAGTCTCAGTTACGGTGGACTGGTCATGTCTTGAGAATGTCTGATGACAGGATACCCAAGATCCTAATGTACAGCCAGTTAGATCAGGGCTACAGGAATGTAGGACGCCCATGGCTAAGATACAAAGACAAGCTGAAAAGCAACTTGTCAGCTGTCAATATACCACATAACACCCTTGAGCGCTTAGCCTTGGAGCAGGGTAGAATGGAGATCAACATGTTTTTAGTGGACTCAGCAGTTTTCAATCTGCTTGTCTGAATCATCTTCAAGAAGCGAGAGCAAGGTCTAAAAGGTCAGCCAATCTAATAGTCATTTCATCTCACAATCCTCACTCTTGCTCCATATGTGGCCTCTTTTGTAAATAACTAGCGGGTCTTAAATGCCACTTAAGATTATCGCACAAAATTTTACCTGACCATCATCATAATTTAGTACATTAAGTTTCCCAGAAACAAAATACTATTTTTACTAAAAGAAAGATGAAGGATGGGAGGTACTTTGGATAGAGCCAAAAAAAAAAGTATGATATAAAAACTCTTTATGCTTTTCCATAAACATCATTGAGACTTAAAGCTTTGAATTAACTCAATAACATTTAAACAAAATTATATGGAGAAAACACTGTGAAAGCTGTGGAATGCCTGAAACAAAAGTTATCAAGATTTGAACATTGTCAGCAAAATCAATATATTTAGGAAAAAGAGTAGGTAAGCAAAAATATAAAGCACATGGTTTAATATCAAGGTTGTTATATCTTTTCATTTATTTTATTTATATCTTTTATAATTAATTTAGGAACAGATGTATACAGCAATACAGTTAATATGTAGGGTGCTGAAATGTTATTGGCCTAACAAAGAAGCCCATAAAAATATTCTGATGTTAGATTATTTGGTCAGATTTTGGGCTGAGAACTTTTCAACATATCTCCATATGTAGAAATGTGTATAAATTATTTTATTGTTCTTAGATATATATTCTAAAATTATCATAACTTCAAATGCAAATAATTAATAATGTAATATAATCTAAAAGTAAGTTGACCTCCAGCTGGGAGTGAACTTCCTCTGGCATCTCCTGGTTGTAAGTTTTCAATAATTCAATGGTTTGTTTTAAAGGTTCAAACATTTCATCTGTTGCAGCCAATCTTTCACGAACAGCACCAAGGTTTCCCATGACGTTGACCAATCCATCGTAATCACCTTCTTCCACAGGTTTTGTGAGGCCTTCATCAGCAAAATGAATAAATTCAGACAAGCCATTCAAACTGAAAAAAAAAGCAAATTTCTATTACACTAACATTAACTTGGGTACCTTACAGCAGCTCATAATCAGGAAGAATACAGCTTATAGAAATCCCTATAAAATGGTTGCAACTTGGAGGGTAAACATTAAAAAACAATGACAAATGTGATTAAACACAACTACAATGTTTGAAGTCAGATTCAATTTATAAAAGAAAAAGAAAAGTTCTCACTCTTTGGCAGCAATGAAAATTTTCTTTTTATCAATGATATAAATATGTTTGCTTTTATCAGATTTTTCATTAAAATTTGATTTGTTTTACAAATTTATCTCTCTTTGAATTCAGAAGGTTTCCCATTAAGACAGATGAGGTAAACATTTTTATTCTCCATAATCTGAAAGCTAAGTATTTGGAATTTCTTGCACAATCAGTGCTTTTGAAGCTATTTTATTGTATACAACACATATGCCTGAAGAATAGTAGCCATATCCAATGATTTTGAACTTATTTCAAGAAGTGAAAACTGTTGTACCAAATTGATATTTTTCATGCACTATCCAAAATGACCACTGCAACCTTATTATTGGGTAAAAATATTAGATAACACTCTGGTCTGTTTTAACATTGAGAAAACTTTAAAGCGTATAACAAGTATATAATTTTAATCATATGTACTTCAGAAATAATTTCTATTGTTTCCATTCAGAACTTTGACAATATATGAATGAACTCTGACATAATATGCTTCAGTTGCAGTATTTAATATTAAAGAAAATAAACTGATTTTGATCATCTTGTTATTGTGACAATATTAATTCATAAGACATTCAACAGAATTAACAAATCTATAATGGTTATTAATGATTATAAACTAAATACTTAAGCTACAAGGTAATTTTTCCATAAATTTAATATTTTTTATTTAACATTTCAAGATTGTTGAATGAAAAAAATTGCTTACAAAATAAATTTGCCCTCCTTATATAAAAAACAAGGTGATATTAAGGGATTATTAAAAAAGAAGAAAAAAATGATTCTGAATTACATTAAGATAACAGTCTCAAAAAATAGGTCTCTCTCTCTCTCCCCCCATCAATGTGCTTCAGTCTTGCTTCCAATAAAGTAAATTTACCTGTTAGTCACATGATCAATAAGATGTTGCTTAAACATGAAACTCCATCTCTTGATGATATTCAGCAAAGCTTGTTTAAAAGGACTGGCATCAACACTAAACCAAAACTCAAAGTTGGTGAACTTTTGAATGGTTTCTGCTTCTTCATAAATCTTTTCATAAGTATCAATCTAGGGAAAAATCATAGTGTTTAAAATTAGTCCACCTTTATAAAATTCAAATATGAGCAAAAATTTTATTCTCTTGTTAGAAAAAAATTGTTTCATTATATATATATATATATATATATATATATATATATATATATATATATATATATATATATGAATTCTTGCTGCCTAAGTATATATTTATCCTGGTATTATTTTAGAAATTAAATCAATTTAAATTCTTTTTAAATGCATATGTATCAAACACAAGTGACATAGAATAGTTTCCAACTTAAACATAAGAAATATACATTTTAATCATTTAAATAAAAATAAATAGTAATAATTTATTAAATGATAATAAATAATTGTAGAGATGCTGTAAATTATCCTCTCAGTGGTAACTGTCTGGTAGAAAATGTCATTTGTAGTGTAATGATAAAGTCGGACATACAACTATTCATATTGGTTCTACAAAAAGAACATTCAAAAAAGTTTTTACAATAATAAATATTCTTAAACTTGCCAAAATATAAGAATAGCACCTGACTTGCTAGCTATGTGTGAGAAATGAAAGAAAAATAAAAGAAAAGCCCTATTATGATAAGGGATATAATGACATTCTTCATGGAAAATTATTGTTTTATTTTATTCTTATAATATAAAAAATACTTTCATAACACTGATGATAAATATGTAAGTGTGTCAGAGCAAATAAGAACAAATTATACCGGTTACTGCTTGATACATCATAGATAAAACCGATGAAACATTATATATATATATATATGCAAATGTACATTTAAATAAAGATATTCATCTCTGCAGAATTCAATATTTAAATCTCTCTCTCCCTCTCTCTACTCTTCCAACACAATTTTCAGTTTTCATAGTCCATCGTCATCATTAAAAGTTATTTTTCAAAATTCATTCAATTTTGTTCTATGCTTATTTTAAACACTGTCATTGTCTCCGAAGTCAATGTATGTGAAACATTTGTCCTTTCTTGCATTTTATTTTTCTAAATTTGTTCTCTAATCATCCTTTGGATATTTCATTAATAACAATTACTTTTAAGTTTAATCAATAAGGTAATTTTAAAAATTTGTTCCTTGAAATGAGCAGACTATTATTTGATTAATGTTGAATCAATTACATCTGGGAGTTAATGTCTGTGAACATCTCTTGCTGGCTCGGGAGCTCTTGAATCTCCAGACCATTCATACATGTGTCTCCATCTCTCTCTACTTAACCCAGTCAGCTGCCTCTTCTTTCTCTACCATTCTCCTTCCTCTCAAAACTGTTGTGTGATAGATAGTATCTCAGATAATATAGACAAGGCCATCTCCCTATACCCATTTGCAAACATATTTGTGCTCAGTGACTTTAATGGCCACCAGACCAGGTGGATTCAATTCTCTGTCACTGACCTTGCTGGCATTCAAACTTCTCAGTCACTCAATCTCTCATGCAAGTAGTTAACTTCCCCACATTTCCCCCATAACCCTGATTGTAATGGACATATCTTTGTCTCTAGCAGGGACAAAGATATGTCCATTACAAAAAGAAAGCAAAGTTACTGTTTGCTGATAGAATGAAAAAATGCATAGCATCTTGCAAATTCGAGTATAGAAAATATAGAATAGAGTATTGGTGGCTCTGCAAGAATGTGCTGAACAACAGTAAATCCTCAATCCCTCCTCTGTTCAATCAATTTGAAGTCCTAACATCTATAGCAGATATGGTTGAATGCTTCCAACTCAACACTTGACTTATGTGGAGTACCCACACCTGATTTCCCCCAGAGAACTGAGGCTATACTTAGTGATATCTGCATAACCCTGTCACTAGTCTTGGGCTTTATTTTTAAATTAGATTCCCATAAGGCAAGTGGAGGTGATGGGATACCAACCATTGTTCTAAAGAAATGTGCTCCCAAGCTGGCTCCAGTCCTCTTCAAACTATATAACTTCCTACTTTCCAGCTTGTTGGAAGTTCTCCTATGTAGTTCATGTTTTTAAGAACTCTGGAGAACTTTTTGACTCATCTACCTATTGCCCTATTAGTCTCCTACTGCTTTTTGGCAAAGTATTTGACGCTTTAATTGATGCTGAAGGGGTTAAGTATCTTACCTCTCATGACCTACTCCCTGACAAACAATATGAATTCTGTTTTTCCTAATCTATCACTGATGTGCTTACAGCCATCATTGAATATGTAAATCAATTAAATGTAATTATCTTGATAATAATGGCGAATCTCGAGCTGTGGGTCTAGATATCTCAAAGGTGTTTGACAGAATTTGGCATACTGATCTTCAACATAAGCTTCAGGACCATGGTATTACAAGACAATTGTTTGATTTAATCCGATCATTGCTATCAAATTGTGAAAAGAAGGTCATTCTGAATGGGTTCACTTTCAGATACTTTCATACAAATGCTGGTGTGCCCCAAGGCTGTATTCTAGAATTTACACAGTTTCTGATCTACACCAATGATCTTCCTGATGTCATCAATTCTAAGGTATACATTTATGCAGATGACATTTACTCATGTCTCAATAGCAAATCTGTCAGAACTGACAAAGTTAACCTGGCTACTGATTTTGAAAAGGACCTCTAATCAGTAGTTAACTGGGGCAGGAAATGGCTGGTGAATTTTAATGCCTCCAAAATTAAACTTCTCTTATTCAACCACCATAAAGAAATTTCCCTGCCCTCCATCAGCAGGGCTGATGCTTGACTTTAGGAGTGTGTCTCACTGCACCTTCTTGGCCTCATGTTTTCAACTGATTTGACATAGAACAACTACACTGAATCAATAGCTGCATCTACTACAAGAAAAGTTTGTTCATTGTGTCATACCAGAAGGTTTTTCACATCTTGCACATTTACAAAACTACCATTCATCCATGCATTGAATACTGTTGCCATATCTGGTCTGGTGCTCCTGCTGCTCATCTAGAGGTTCTTGACAAAATCCAAAGGTAGATCTGAAATATAATTGATCCTAACTTGGATTCTTGACTTCATTCACTTTTTCACAGTTGTGATGTGGTTTTCCCTCTATTTTTTCTACAAATATTTTCATAGCAACTGCTCTGATGAGCTTTTTTCCCTGGTGTCCTGACTACATGAATTTAAGCTTGCTAATAGATTGGCATTTAGGTCTCACCCTTTTACTGTTGAAATAGTTGAATACAATTGTCACTTCTACTCCAACAGTTTCTTTTCTTACACTTCTCAACAGTAGCATTCCCTTCTGCTTACTTGATTCCTTGATAACTACAATGTTTAAAAATTTAAATGCAATGTCAATCACCATCTTCTGTTGGCTTTCTGTTTGTCCTTTCCTCACCACCCCTCATACCTAGTCTTTTCCCTCACTTCACTCTCTGTAACCCCCTGTGTACTAGTGGCACACCTGCCTTGATTTGAGTGAAATGATTAAAAAATCATATTTGTATTTATATAAATGTGCATATTGAAGTGAATTTCAGCCAAATATTATCAATTAGTGATATATTGCATAAATTTTCTGAATAAGAAATTTTGGATCAACTAAAAATCCAATCTTACTTGAGAGTTGAATTAAGAAAAGACAATGAAAATTCAAAGAAAGATTGATGCATGAGCAATTTTTGTTTCATGAATTTTTGTTAAAGTTCTGCAGTCTGAAAACAATTCACTTATTCAACTTTCAAATTTTGGTATCTTTTTACAACTCTTTACTTGACAAGATATAGAAACTACAGAAGGTTTGATTAAAATTATTTGCAACAGTTTGAAGACAAAAATCACAGACACAATTTACTTTTATTTTTTAAATATTACTTATTGTATTTTTGTGGTAAAAATTTTGCAGCCACAGACATACCTGCTCTTTAAATTGTTCAAGTGTTGGGGGACATTCAGGTACTCCATCTTCTGCATGGGCTTCAATCTCCTCAGTAGTCAGCACATGATTATAAAGCAGAAACTGTCGCATGAACTCATTTCGATCATCTACCCACAGGTAAGCATAAGTATCAAAGGAATTGCGGTAATCACATGCCTTGGTCATCACATTCTGCACACGTTCCATCAATTCATTTCTCATGTCACTCAGATCTTCCATGCCTTCTAGATCAGCCTGCCCAAATAAATAAACATGAATGTTGCTGCTGAAAAGGTTTGGGTAATTAATAATATGGAGGAGTTAGAATAGATGTGGTAGAGATGAAACTAGTAGGGTGGATGGAGAATGTAAGTTGCCATAAGGACAATTAAGAGAATTAGATGAAACCCTAGGACATTGGCAGAAGTAATTTATGCAACACACCAAGCATTTCATCCTCTCTACATTAATATTTAAACATACATACACAGCAATTTGCACTTTCCTGCTAGAAAAAGGTTATTGATGTAAGGAATATGGATACACCTGTGTTCCCCCTCACAGGAATATGATTGGCTGGTGTCAGCCATAAATACAGGCTGATGTAGAGGTACAGATGACGCCTATTGCCTACACCTATTGGTCTACACCTATTGACTGCGACTGCGAGTACCAGTTCCATTACTGCTACCTGTTAGATTATTCTACTCGGTTACAGTAGCCTAAACCACTTAGCTACTACGATCAAATATATCCCTTCCTGGGACATATCAGTTGGCGACGAGATTCGAAACGACCTAGAAACGAAGTTAAAACAAAAGAAAAAAAAAATACAGTCAACAACACTTACTAACAAAGAACATTAGAAAGACTTGTTCGACGCTTACATAAAGTAAGTATTTTTTTCCCTCATATTTGTTTTAACGCTTATTGATGAGGAACGTTAGAAAAGGAAAAACTTGTGCAACGCTTACAGAAAGTAAGAAATTACCCTCCTCTTGTTTGGACTTAGAAAATTTTATTGTCTTGCAAATTTTTTTCTTGTGATATGTTGGCAGAATTGAACAAGTTGCAGAATTAGCTAAGGTGCTGCAAGTCACTTTACAGCAACAATTCCAATAACAACAACAGTTCCAACAACAACAACAACAATTGATTCAGCAACAAGAAAGGTTTGAAAAGTTATTCGAACAACAGGCAAAAGACAATAAATTACTTTGGGAAGATGTATTATCTAGGACAACAAATGAACCGGGCTCTAGATTTTTTTCTGCTGAAGGAATTTCAAATTCACTCACTGAATTTAAATATGACCCTGACAGTGGTTCAACGTTTCCGGCTTATCTTTGTAGGTTTGAAACAATATTCATGAAAAGATGCGAACAGTGGTTTGACAAGGAAAAAATCACTCTATTGTTGCAGAAGTTGGGAACAGAAGAAAATACAACATACACAAATTTAATCCTTCCAAAGAAGCCAGAAGAAATTACATTCAGCGAAACAGTAGAAATTTTGTCAAAAATTTTCGATAAAAGTGTCTAAATATTGTAAAACAAGAGGATGATGATTTTGTCACATATGCAGGTATGGTTAATGCACAGTGTAAGGCGTTTAAATTAAAGGAATTGTCAAGCGACATGTTTAAGTATCTAATTTTTGTGCAAGGTCTAACGACACCTAAGGACAAAGACATTAGATCAAGAATCCTCTCTACTATGGAACAAAATCTGAAGATTATGCTACAAAAAGTAACAGAAGAATGTCAGCGAATTATAAACATAAAAAAAGACAATACTTGGATTGAGGAGAAGAACATTTTGCGAATACAAACTGTAAGACAACAGAAGGGGATACAAAATAAAGAAAGAAAAATTCTTTCATGTGGAGGACAGCATATAAAGAAGGATTGTTTCTTTAGGGATAAAAAAATATTTTAATTGTGGGCGTGTAGGCCATAAAAGTTCCCATGGTTGGGCAAAACAGAGAAATGTAAAATCAAAGGCGAACGTAGTTTTGTCTAAAAATGAAATTGAGTAGGGTCAAAGAAGAAAACACCTCAATGTAAAAATAAATGGGCAGACTGTATAATTATTACTCGACTCAGAAAGTGATATCTCGGTAATAAACAAGCAAACATGGAAAAAAATCGGTTACCCACCGTTGACTAAAACAGACAAAATTGCCAGGGTGAATTAAAATGTAACATTTCATACACGAGAAAAATTCACAAATCGAAAGTGTATGTGCTCCCTGGTTCCATAAACCTCTTTGGTACAGACTGGATTGTATTGTTTAATTTGTGGGAATTACCAGTATCTGTAACAATGTGAACGTCATACAGAACTATAAGATGAAACAAACAGAAAGATTTATTACGGAGTTGAAAAACGAATTCTCTCTTTTCAAAAGGACTAGGTCTGTGCACAAAAACAGAAGTCAACTTCGAATTGAAAGAAAATATTAAACCAATCTTTAAACCAAAGAGAAAAGTACCATTTTTGGCACTAGAGACAATAAATGAGGAATTAGAAAGGTTGGAGAAAATTGGTGTAATTTCAAAAGTCGATTACTTGGATTGGGCGTTTCCAACTGTAAATATAAAAAAGAAAAATCAGAGTGTGTGCCGACTTCTTGACAGGCTTAAATGACTGTTTGATAGACCATGCGTACCCTCTACCATCTCCGGAGGATATATTCACTAAATTAAACGGAGGTAGAGTGTTTTCAAAGTTGAACTTGTCGGAGGCTTACCTTCAGTCAGTGAAGAATGTTCGAAATACCTGACTATAAACACACATAAAGGGATTTTTAAACTAAATCATCTCCCTTTTGGATTGAAGGTAACTCCAAGCCTATTCCAGCAATTAATGGACACATTGTTGGCTGATATGGAGTATGCAATAGCATACTTAGATGATATTTTGATTAAAAGTGAAAACGAGGCCCAACACAAAACGCATATTAGAGCAGTATTTCAGAGAATTGAGGAATACGTGTTCAAGTTGAGTGCTGAAAAATGCGAGTTCTTCTTAAAGAAGATAAAATATTTAAGGCTGATCATTCACAGTAAAGGAAGAAAACCAGATCCAGAAAGGGCTGAGGCTATAAAAAATATGCCAGCACCTGATAATGTGGCTAAACTCCAGACCTTCTTGGGATTAGTAAGCTACTATAACATTTATATCCCAAAATGTATGATATGAAAGCTCCTTTAAATAATTTACTGAAAAAGGGTGCAAAGTGGATATGGTCGAAAGAATGCGAAGATGCTTTTAAAAAAAATAAAAAGCTGTCTATTAGCAGACCAATTGCTGTCTATTAGCAGACCTATCACTGTCTATTTGCAGACCTATCGTTGGCACATTTCGACCTGAAGAGGAAAATCATTGTAGCAGCAGATGCCAGTAATGAGGGACTATGTGCGGTATTGCTTCATAAGAATATGATTGGCTGGTGTCAGCCATAAATACAGGCTGATGTAGAGGTACAGACAACGCCCATTGGACTACGACATTGGCTATCCTATTGCCTACACCTATTGACTGCAACTATGATGAGTACCAGTTCCATTACTGCTATCTGCTAGATTGTTCTACTTGGTTACAGTAGCCTAAACCACTTAGCTACTTCGATTAAATATATCCCTTCCCGGGACATATCAGTTATTTGAATAGAAACTACCAAAAATTGTTTCGTTGAACAAACCTACTTAAAATATAATGCTTAAAGTAAAAGATCCTGCTGCAAGTGAAAATGTAAAGCATAAAACAAAAATGAAGCTAAAAAACAATTAAGGTGAATGAATATATAATTGATATAGAGATGAGATAAGACAGGGCTGGCATACTACCCCTGATCATTGTGGCCCTAGTCTGATTGGGAGCCCTGGAAATTACTTTGTGTCCTGCACTATCTTATCAACATTTGTTTTTTTCTACTAACATTTATATACATTACAAATTAACAACTGACTATTAAAAGATGAAAAATTTTTTGCAGATTTGGATGTCATTCTGAGGTCTTTTTTTGTCCAAATCCGTGAATTTGTTTTGATCATGCTAAGTCTCAAGAAAACACTATCTTTTTATTCATAATGTTGAATGTGTTAAATTCTTCAACTTTTATATGAAAACTACCTTATGAAAATTGAGAAGTAGAGTGTGTGTGGGGGGGTCCCATATCATACAGGGGAGGGGAGGCACAAAATCCTTTCATCAGCCCTGCTTACAGATAGAATCCAATAGGAGAGTCAAATGCTGCAAGTGAATGAACAGACTACTAATCCAAAGTCCTCCATTTGAAGCAGTAGAAAAGAAATGGAAATAATTTCTGAGGGGAATATGTTGAAAGTGGATAAATAGGGAAAAATAAAGAAAACTGACAAGAAACACAAAAAGGAAATACAGCAAGCACATGAAATTGAAACAGAAAGTTTTAGTAGTTAACAATTAACAGAAGACTGCTAGCACTGCTGAACACTTTAAAAGAACTTTATCTGGAATTGATTTGAGCTTTTTTTCATCCATAAATGTGAAGACACACCAAAGTTTATCAGTAGTGATAATCAACCTGGTAGTAATACACATTACCAGTAATGGCTATAAAGTTTTCTCAGATCCAACCAGCAAAGTGATAAGTCTCTGTTAATGTTGAAAGAGCTTTTAGAGTATCTTGTTTGATGTCATGCATCTTTCCCTTATCTATATTCAATTGATATCTATTTTCCAAAATAACAGAAGATCAAGGGTGAAGGATTCATCTTTGAGATTCCCTATATTTTTAACAATGGATATATGTCCATTGCTAAAATCATAGGAACTCACTAAGGTAAAGTAGATTACATCCACAAGGACCAAATGCAATTTCAGCTTCAGTACACCTTTCTTGTAATTCTTGAATAGATCTTTTACTTTGTCATTATGATCCACACTTTGAAATTAGGCCAATTTAAAAAAAGAAAATGAACAGAGAAAGTTATAACCTACCTGATAGTGTTGCTGGCCATTATGTTCAGCTAACCTTGGAATGAGGGCAGCTTGTTTATAGATGTCTCCTACCAAGCCATCAACAAGATCATAGAATCCATCAGGAACCCCAAAATCTAAAGATGGTGAAAAAACCATATAGGGAACCTGTAATTCTAACTGGGCCTGAAAAAGTGGATCTCGTGTTGTTTTGGAATCAGTGTTGTCTAGTAAGAAAGCCAGACTTGCATGTATTGTATTGAAGAAGCCATCAACAATCATATCATCTACATAGTCAACATATGCCTTCCACATTTCAGTATGGGGATCTGCTTTGAAAAGTTGAACATTTTCCTAATAAATAAAAATAAGTAGAGTAAGAAAATAAAGCTTAAAAAATCATGGCAAATATTGTCAGGTTTCAGATAAGATCTAATATTCCTTAAAGCTGGAAAATGTAAAAATTTGATATCCACTTCATGAATGGATTACAAGTCAATAACTTAAAGATATATTTTATCTTTAAGTTATTCAATCTTTGAAAAAAAAAACAAAAAAAAAACAAAATGATAGCATTAGAATTCACCTTGAGCAACTGATGAATTTGGTCTCCTTTTACTTGAATTTCCAAGTATCTTCTTTCCAAGCGTTCTTCTCTATCATCCAGGTTCAGAAGAGAACCAAATTTTTCTTCTTTCCGCTCAAACAGTGGAGTTTTACTCCAGGTTGCCATTAGCTGAACAATCTTTTGGATATTTGTTTTGGACTTTTGCATTCGTGATTCAAGATCATAAACCATATTCTTTGTTTTTTCTATGTATTCCCAGATTCCTGTCAGGATAGAGACTGACACTCATTTTCTCCATATTACATTTATAGGACACTTACAAATATTCAGATGTACATTTACAGGACACTTACAAATATTCAGATGTAAACCAATGAATATTAGGATGAAAGAGCTGAAACTTTTTCTTTAACTGCCACCCAACAAATTTTTAGACAAAAAGTTATTTCTAAAGATTTATCTTATTCTTGCAAAGTCTATAATTTTAAAAACAATAGACATTTTAGGTCTGTTATAATGAATGATCTTTTTTTCTAATGTATGATATCCTCTCTCAAATATGGTTTCTGTGAGTGGATGTGTGGATATCCAGATGCTAGAAAAAAGATAATTAAATATAATAGACACAAAATGTCTTGTTTTTAACAATACATTTTTAAAAGAAAAATTGCTGCCCAAATATATTGTGAATAAAGTAGTATAAAGAAGTATATAGATTTCTGGGACTGGTGTCATGGCTTAAAATAGGAAAATATAAATTCTTAAACTGAGCAACAAAACTATGGATAATTATAACTGGTTTTGTTTATATTTTTTACAAATCTCTACTAATTGTAAGCATAGTGATAATTTATATATAATATCTGTGAATATGTATTAAAATTATTAAGGCAATAATTTCAGAAAAATAAAAAACTGTTTTGTAGTTGAGAAGCTGATAGTTTACCTGAGCTGTTCCAGTTCATAATCTCCTCTGCATTTTTCAGTTGTTCATCTATCATGTTGAGTTGTTCTTCAATGAGAGGGCATTCAACTCCAATAACAGAAGTGCGAATATTGTTATACCACAAGACAGTCATATCCATATTAGTAACAAAACGGAAGAAATCTTCTCTTCGACTATACAACTCATATCCACTCTGTGGAATATCTTCAGTGCCTCGGATTTCCATATATTTCACTTCTTTTAGAACTGAAACTAACTGTATTCATGAAAGGAATAAAAAAACATAAGTAAATTTCTTGAGATAATTTTATCCATTGGAGATTAGAAATCAAACTGCATTTTTTTTTAAAAGACATGTCTTTTTATGTTTTGCAAGCAGATAGTTTATTGGCTTTACAATATCATCATTAATGTTTGATAATAAGAAAAAGTTATACTTTTAACTGATATGAACATGTCTGATGCATGTTACCAATAAGAATCAAATGCCCAAGTTTTCACAAGTGGCTGGTTTCTACTGATTAGCTGTTCCACAATGTACTACAAATGTAGAATACTGATAACAACATATTAAAGTTAAGCTGTACAATTTAAATAAACTCTTTATTGTTTGAGTTAAGATAAATAAATTGAAACAGTGAATCACTCTCATACCTTTCACCAAATCAGAAATTTCTTTTTGTAGTGATTTAGAAGCAGTAAAAGTTAAATCCATTTTTCAGTCTTATTCATTCCCAAATATATTCAAATGCAATAAAATACCAAATGACATTATTAATACGTAAGATATTAGCAAATGATGTTTTAGTAGCTTTTCATTTTTATGAAACCAATGTATTTGCATTGCATTTTTTATTACTGTTAGTTTTGGTGTAATAATAATGTTTAATCACTGAGGTTGTTTTTTTTTTTGTACATATTCTTTTGAGATAAGTTTATTTTTAAGAAAGCCAGACAGTTTGTGTAAAAAAATGTTACAGGCTTAGTAGTTAAAAAACACCACAATTGTTAATCAATTTCAAGTTTATGGAAAATTATTTTTTGCATTTTTTGGCAACAAGCCAGCACCAGACATTAAACTGAACTTTCTTCTCTTTGGGCTATATTCTTTTACTCTGCAATGTAGTAGTGAAAACAACAGGACTTTTCTTCACCAGCATTTCCATCTTGCACTATGTGGCAGGCTCTCTTCTTAATTTCAGTCAGCTACATGGTACATCACATTTTCTAATAGCAAAGCCATTTTCATCCTTTTTCAGCTGTGTACACACAAGTATATTTTCTCTCTTCTTGAATTATATTATTCTTTATATAAATATATGTATAAAAACCCTCCTCATGTCAAAATTCATTTCCTTTTGAAAGTCTTCATCCTCATTAGCCACAAGTCATAACTTTTCCTGCTACAAACTGGTGATTAACAGCAACCTTGTCAAGTAGCACCACCTCACTACACATGATTAAGGATGTGATATGGACATTAAAAACTACAACAAAAAAGTTCACCCCATTACAATAGGGAAACTCACAAGGAACACACAATTTTTCACGATGAAACCTTCTCATGAAAGAACAAACTTTCAACAAAATTTCAAGCCCTACACTTTTAATAAAGACATTACAGAGTGGATGATTAAAATAATATTAGGTATTTGCATAGAAATTTCATTTTCCTTGTTCATTTTGAAAGAACTTGAAAAGTAATTATTTGAAATTATGCACTAAATAGAACACAAAAGTATTAGGGACATTTAAGCTTTCTAATTAGTTCACAGTATTGTGTGATAATTTGTAAAATCCAGTTACTTTTAATTATTTTTTCAACCCACACACAAATGGTTTCATATAAATATAGTAGGAATAGATTTTTTGTTTGAATATATTTGTCATTGCAGGAATGTTTTGGAGACTATATTATACAGCTACCATATATACTTGAATATAATGCAAGTTTGTATTATCATTTTTTTACACAAAATATAGGGAGTCACACAATACACCCATAATTTTTTTAAAGAAGTTAAAATCATGCAATTTCAGTGCTGTTTACTATTCACAGGTAAATACTTTTTTGTAGGGGGTTAAAATTCATGCAAAAAATTCAGGAGTCACACTATACATGAAGTTGGCTTATACATGAGTATATATAGTATGTCTTTCCTTAGGCTTTACTTAACTTTCAAGAACTTGTTTTATATTTTATGGATGAAAGGAAGGGTGATGAAAAGTTCCCAACCTAACCAGGAAACCCTTCAAAAACTTATTCTGATGTTTGGGCATCTGATCAAATTTTAGAAAGTGGGTTTGAGCAAGAATTTTTCAACATGCCTTCTCATAGAGCCATATTTGAAATTTAAAATCCTTTCTCAAAGAATGGACTCACCTGTGGATCGAAGTTCACGGCTATTAACTTCGTTTGTTCATTTCTTGTTAGCAAAGGTTGTGACAAGTTAAAATGACATGACTCGTCTACAGTTTTTGCCCAGTGGGAATACTGCTGCTGCTCAAAACTGAAACAAAATCAAACAATTGTATTTTAAGATCATCTTTTAGAGGTAAACCAAATGCAGTGAGTGCAGCATTGACCCTTTCTATACTGTGATCTACATAGTTACACAGATTTGAAAGGTGTTCACATAAAATAGGTTAACATTAGTTGATTGAATGAATTTAACATGAGATAGATTTCTATATTTAAGAGACAATACAGGATAATAGGAAAAGTAGAAAAAGATGTTATTCAGAAGCAACAAATTCCCAAATAACATTTTCAGAATTTTTCTGTGCACAGTGCTGAGAAGAAGGAAAATCTCAACCATTTCCCAGAGTTTTAGATTTTTTCATAAAGTGTATAAGAAAGAATGAAAGTAAAATCATTAGTATTAATCATAAACAATGAATCTGACAAAGAAATTTTGAGAAAACATTTTGACATTACAGTTGTTAACTTTTTAATTTGAGTAGCATATGGCCTTACAGTACAAACCTCTGATCACCAAAGTTAAGTAACAGTGAGACTGGTCAGTACCTAGATGGGTGACCACTTGGAAATAGTAGGTGCTGTAAGCTTGGATATGCAGGTGGTGTGATGCATAATGGCTGAAAATGAGAAATCAGAGAGCTGAGTTCAAAGTTTTGTACATTCACTTTTGCACAAATTCCCTTGGTAAAGGTATGAATCCATTTCTTCTTCCCTCAACTATAGGTTAAATAGCAGGAAAAACTGGGTCTTCTAGACTTTGTTGGCAACCAGGCTACTGAAGAAATTAACAGCATCCTGCTGCAGGATTCTTCTGTTTGGGCAATCATTTCTCTTTTTGATTCATGATTGCCTAAGCATGCATCACGCATAGTACCTAAAAAAAGGATGCATTTATTAATATCATAAAATATGTTTGTTTTTTGTGGCCATTATTTTGACTAGTGTATGCAACATGGACACAAGCATTTCAAACTCTTTTTGTAGGGAAGGATTTAGCATATAGTCTGTAATATTCTGTCAGGTCTTACTCATGTTTCTTATTAGAATTTTGATTTTAAGTTTTTACTAAACTCTCTGATCATCCTTAGACCTCAAAACCTGATCAGAAAACCACTTCTCATAGATACGTAATTCATATAATTGAACAAAATTGCTTTTTCCTGAAATGGAATTTGAAAAATTCATTTGAATTGAGTAGTCTGTGATTTTTTTTTCTGGCAAAGAATAATTCTGATTATTAGGAAATAAACCTGTTAACATTGGCATGAAAAAGAAATGGTTGTTCTATTATTTTGCCTTCCAGTAACGGTGGAGTGCATTTGTAAGCTCTGAATTTACAACACTGAATGAAACATTTCTGTCATTTCTTTCTGTTATAATAAAAATTCTTATTATTGAACTCACATTGTAAGCAAATCCATCATTTCTTCATATTTGCGATAAATCAATATAGCGTCTTCATTTTCTGTGCATCTGAAAAAAGGATTAAATGAGAAAATTCAACAATTTTTGGGTTAGTTTCATCTTTATTTCAACTAGTTATTTTTCCAGAATTTTTCAGGTGAAATTTAATATAACCTGTTCTTGGTCAATTTTGTTTATATAAACTAATCTATGTTTATACCCTTGTGTTCTGAGATACAAAGAAACAAAAATTGAACCCATGATGTCAATCCATTAGTTGCACTTAATCGACTGTGTGCTGGTCTCACAGTTCCTCTCTGCTAAACCAATGCATCATTCTTTGCTTTAATTCAATTTTTTTTTACAATGCAAATAAAATTCCTTCTATTCTTGGTCCTACAACAGTAAAAGGCAAAAGATCTAATTCTGCTAATTCTCTCTTATTTGCTTGTTACGTATTTTCTGAATATCTTATTAAACTATTGTCTGTACATCCACAAAGTCAACAGAAAGTCATCTCAGTCAGAGGCATAGACCACTGTCACAATAATTAAGGGCTAAACCAGAATTCTAATTGATTCAACTGAGGTTATTATTAGGTATGTAAAGAACACTCATGCATAGAGTAAGGGAAAGTACTCTTTACTTACAGGTCATTGGTAGTGAATCTGACTCTTACAAGTCACTCAATGTATGTGGTCTAATGCCAAACAGGGTTTTAAATGAATAGCAACAGTATATACTACAAATAACTTACTCATGTTCCAAATGTTTAAAGCTGCCAATGGAAGAACCAATTCGATCTCGTAATTCTTGAGCCCATTTTAAGCTTCCAGATACTTGAGGCATAAACTTGTGTACCGTTATATGACCTGTTTCTTTTAGAATCTTCATTTCTTTATCATAGATCATTTTAATGGCATCAATTTCTTGATTCAGCAATTTTACTATCTGGTTGTACTTTCCATTGAAATCTTTTTTGATAAGTGGACGTTCTAGCAGACTGCCCATCATGTCAAGCAACTACCAAATAAAAAGAGAGCAATAAAGTCAGGTTAAAGCAGTGTGAAATGGCTATAATGTGACAATGCAATTTGACATTTAGTTTTCTTCTTCATGTCATCATTACAGAATGGTAAGATTCTCAAACTTCCAATTGCATAATGAGTATTAAAAGCAAAGAAGTAGAAAATTGCCTTATAAATCTATTTCTCCCTAAGCATGCCTAGAGAGCAAAGCAGAAAATATTGATTCTCATGGCGCATTTTTTCAAGTGATGCAAGACTTTGTTGATTCAAATATAAAATTAAGCAAATCTAATAAATTGGAAAACATTTTAATACAGTACCAAAATGGATGTACAAATGCATAAAAAACAACTCAGCAAAATAAATGAGGAAAAATGGTAGACATCAAATGTAGCACGCATTCATGATGGTTAGAAAATGTATTTGTTCACTTATGGTTACAATCTTGTGGCATCACCATGTAGTAAATTCTGAATATGTGCAAAGTGATACACTAGAAAGTTTCAACCCTCAAGTGTCTGGTAAGATTGTGCACTCTCAAAAGTAGGAAAGAAATTTTATAGTGATTAGGAAATGATTATCAAACAAATATAGCAGAGAAAAATAAAATATGCCTAAAATTGCAGATAATGGAAACAATAATAACAGAAATAATTGAATTACTCTCACCTTGAAACATGACTGCAATCCAGAGCAATCATTAAATCCTTGACAAATTACAGTAGCTAATCTACGCTCTAAATCAGAAATTCTTTCTTGAAATTTGTTGTAGTCATCTATAAATTCCTGTTAATGAAAAAGAAAACTTTAAAAACATGAAATGTTAAAATTATGTTGTATTTTTTGCTAATTATTTGATGGGAAAGCTCATAATGTCTGTCAATAATATAAGAATCTATGGGGTGTCAGTCCTCTTACAATAACCAGTAGAAGAGAGTTATAAGGCTTGGCCAGTTAGTCACTATGTCCAAGCAATGAATGCCAGTTGCTCGATTTGAATCTCATCACAAACCATATTATAATAGTTTTAACAAATTTACATTTATGTAAAATTCAAACAAAGTTATCTATTTATTAAATTGATCAATTGATTGAGTAGTTAATGATTTCCTTAATTCAGATAAAACTTCACTAATTCGACAAAGGCAGACTTGTAAAGAGATAATTTGTACTGTTTTGAATTTAGTCTTTTTATTTTTACAAAGGAATGTTCATTTTAAATTGTTTTCAGAACTTTCTTCAGTGAATGCAAATACAAAATAAACCAAATGTTTATTTAATTAAAAAAAATAGAAAAAGCTTTACTTTATAAACTTATAAGAATCAACATTAAAAGCAAATCAACTTTTGATATAGTAAATATTTTTCTATAATTAACAACACCACAAACCTGATTATTTGAATCCAGTGTGTCTGTTGTTTTCTCCTGAAACACTTTGTACTGTTCTTTGAATTCTTCATTGATTTGCATAACTTGTCTGCTCAGAATTTTCCCTCTGATACCACCAAGTTCTATCTTCTCTAATTTCAGAAATTCTATTGAAGTTTCCATCAATTTCTATTTAAAAACAAACAAAAAAATACTATCATAAAAATCACACAGACAAATTTAACAATAGGAGGAGGATTTACTTATCACTCTTGACAGCCAGTTTTTATTCACAGTCTCTAAATATTCAATCAAATATTTCTCCATTTACATCTTGGCCAGTTTTTATGCTGCTTAGTTTTGGTGTAAGTTTCAGAAACAAAATTGGCAGTAAAAACAGCACTACATTTGTTTTCATCACATTAACTAAAAAATGTTCTTTTTATCAATTTTTAACACCAACAAAGTTATAATTTGACCCATGGAAGCCTAAATGACTAAGTTAATATATGATGTATTGAAATGAATATACAAAGATCTTGTACTGGTTATGGCATAAATATTTTTTGGGATTTATTGTTTACAGTTTAATTAAATATGGTGGCTAAAACAGAATTTTTAAAAACTGTTTTTAATGCATGGAAAATGTTTCAAAAACTGTTTTTAATGCATGGAAAATGTTACAAAATCCAATTCCAAGAAGAAACCATTAAATTTGTACCAGGAGAATAATTGAAGCTGTAACAGTGGCCTTACCATTAATAAGAAAGAAAAAGTCAAAGTGAGCACTTCTGTTTGAGTTAAAGAATTAGAGTTCCAGCAGGATACAACAAAACCATCAAGAATAGGGTGAAGAGAAATCCACAAAGATACAAAAGGTAGATAACAAAAGAGATGGATATTTCAGATAGGTCAAAGAGGATTATGAAAGAGGATTTAAGGTTAAAACCATACATAATTCAACAACAGGTACTTTCAAGTATCTCTATCCAAAAACAACTTGGCATAGGTAAGAAAATGTTGGAGGAGATGTTGCATACCATAGACAAAGTATTTGTTTGGTCAGAGAAGTTTTTCACTGTAGAAGTTGTGGTCAACTACCAAAATGGTAGAGTTTAAGCCACTTTACTAGAAAACATTCCTGAATGTGTCAAAATACATACCAAGTGACAAAAATATAGAAAAATAAGGCAAGGGTGTATTGTGGCTGGGGAAATACTTACCAGGTATCATATTGTCTTTTTTTAACAAATAAGGGGAAACAAGCAGAGAGGGAGGGTATAAAAAACTTAATGACACAAAAACTACAGAATGGCAGGCTGTATGTAAGTTCTGGAACAAAAAGGGCCAAAGGAACATCTTTAAAGACAAGCTTGCTTCAAGCTCTGATAATAGCAAAATGAGTCTCAACAAAGGCACTGGTGACTGATGGTTTTCCATTTCAGTAATACATGAGATGGTTGGAAGAGGTGCAGTGAGGACATATCTGGATATGCCAAGCTATTCTGCTGCTAACAGCAATCTGGATGTAACTGTCATCAATAGACATGTCTGCATGCAACTCAGGGCCTCTTTTGTGTCTGTACTGATATGTTTTTGCCACAAAAAAAACAACTGGTATCATGGTTTAAGTTGCTGTTGCTTATGATGGTTTAAAATCACTCTTTGAAAAGGATTAAAAGTGAACAGTAGTTTACTAGCGGAGAGGTGTGTTGCCCTGATTGTTAGTGAATTGTGGAAGTCACTATGTCTTCACTCAAGATAGAGCTCCTGCATATACAGTCAATTTCACTGATAACTGGTGCAAGAGACATTTCTGTGAATTATTTGGTGTCAATTTGGTCTCCTCCAACAAGCCCCAACATAAATCCAAATCAACAAATCAACAAATAGTCTTTATGATATGGCTCATATTAGAGAGTAATCTTTTGTCTATCTCATACTCAAGTGTGTTAGACCTGAAAGAAACTTTTGACATCATGTTACAATTTGAGCAAAGAGGTGGTGAAGAAGTGATGTACTTCAGTTAAGAAGATATTAAGAGCTATAGTGAAAACAAAGGGTGTATATTTTGAATTGTAAGCATATGTAAAATATTGTTAATAAATATAATAATCAATCTGTAAACTTTCATTAAAAATTTTTTTATTCTATGATAAAATGAATAATGAGTATGTTGTACCTGGTAGATTAGAACAAATTTTTGCTTATCATATATATTTATATCAATGTTACCTTCACAACGATGACCCTTTCCATAAATTTATCAAACCTCTCAAATACAAGGTGAGGTGAAAACTGCCACAAGAAAAGCTCAGCATTGTCAGGGAAAAACTTGTTCAAACTGAGACGATATTCTTCATATGTCTCCTTGAAGCACTTCAAAATTTGTTCAGCTGTTTTCACTCTAATCATGTTTTCTTCAATTTCACCTTTGAAGATTTCTGTTGGATCAAGGTGGTTTCGAGCCTGTGATATCAAAGAAAAACAGTCTTAATTTATTTTGTTTTGGTAATCACAATATCTTTAAAAAAGAAAAAAAATGTAATGAAAGAAGACATATATAGGTGACAATATCAGAAAACAATACTTGGAAAACAAATGTATGATAGAGAGAGAATATTCCAACTGGCTGGCATTTTTGATTAATGATCATCATAATCAAACATGCAAGAAAGTAAGATTTCAATGACAAAATAAATAAGGTTAATTTTCTTTTTGGCTGTTGATAAATCAAGAAAGTTCTGATCCAGATGATATGGGAAATATTAACTGGATATTTTAAGCTAAACCCTCAGCATAATTTTCACATACACACACTAACAATTTTTCTCTGAAAGAAAACAAAAATAAACATGTAATATAATTACCAGGTAAATGAAAAATTCAACATAATTACTACTATGACCAAAATATAATCTTTCAAAATTTTCATGAAAAAACCAAAACTTCTTTACTTTTAATAACAATAAAACCTAAAGTGTCAGTTTTACCAAATCAATGAGCATGTTGCATATTTCTTGAAGCAGCACAATGATACGAGAAGCTGTGTTGTAGAATTTGGAATTGGTCCATATCAAACAAATGACATGCATCAAGGGTCCAAAGTATTTGCCCAGTTTGCAAAATTCTGCTTGTTCAATGTCTTGAAAAATATGTTGTAGAGGTTTCAGGACCATGTTGATATCCTCTGCTTCAGTCAGGGCTGCAAAACCAAACAGAAAATGATAGATTCACTGTTAATATTATTTTATATTGCAGCAAAAAATTATGTAGTTATTTTTTCTCTTGAATCTAGTTTTTGTGCGAAAATTGGCTTAAACTATGAACTGGCTTATTATTTAGTCAACAAGTATTTTTAAATTTTTAGCTATAAACAAATAAGCTATAGGCAAGCTTAAAAAAGAAAATCAGTAAATTAGATTAATAAAAAAAGCAAAAGAAGACCAATGTCAAGATTGCAGAGTTTTGTATCAGAATTGCCTGTTGTTGAAGAGGGATATTATGCCTTTTCTGACTAACATTTTCCACTGACATGAAGTGGAATCATTTGCCAGGTAAGTGGGTTTACTGTGTCAATCTAGACAATTTTTCTTGTCAGAATCTATCTTATTCCTTCATAAAGCATTGAATATTGTTGTCACATTTGGTATCTACAGATTCTTGACAAAATCCAAAAGAAGAACCTGCAATATTATTGGTCCTGACATCTCAACTTCAGTTACTTTCCCACTGTTATAAAATAACTCCCCTGTGAATTTTTTATAAATATTTTCATAACTGAGCTTTCCTCTTTAGTACATCGAGTTCACAAATGTAAGTATAGTAATAGATTGGCTGCTAGATCTCATCATTTTAATGTGATAGATGTAACCATAAGTTCTATGATAACAGTTTCTTTCCTTGTACTTCTCACTTGTGGAACTCTTTTCCATTTTCTTGCTTTCCTTTAAACTATGACCTTCAAAAATTTAAATTCACTTAGGAACACATTATTACAGAAGTTGGAATGATCAACACAGATAAATGATTTCATCACAAGTGTACATGCAATAAAGTGAAAGGATTGCTTACCTTTAACAACATCTTGAAAGAGGTTTTGAAAAGAAATATAATAGACACTGTTTGTCTGTTGCAAGAGTTTTGCCATTTTGATCACTCTAGGAGTCTTTAGCTGTCACAAGAGAAAAAAAGGTTTAGTAAAGAAACTATAACAATAATATTTAATAAGGAAATCAATTTTCAGTTTACCCGAAGTAAAATATATACATATAAATCTAAATTCATTGCAAGTGACCTTTCTTAATTTATTACTTGATCAAAAATGATTACGGACCCCTCTAATTTTTGTTTTCATTATCATAAATTCCTAGCCTGAATATTTACTATTTAGAAATTATGCAAGATTTTCTTCCACCCAAGACTGATACATCACACATGATCATGAGAAGAGAAAGATTAAGAGCTTAAAATTAAATATAATTCCTTTCAAATCTTATAATGTAATAATTCTACTAGAAGAAATAAACAGCAATAAAAATACCATATGTTAAACATTTGACTAAGGAATTGTACATACCTGATCATATACACATTCTAAATTTTTTAATTTATCCTTCCAAAAATTAAGTTCCACAAAAGGATTTGGATGTTGTCCATCTGAAAGATGCTGTGAGGAATCCCTCTTCAAGACATCACGAATTTGGTGAGACCATTCAATAACAACTGACTCAATTGAGTGGACCAATGTTCGATCTAAACCATTCTCCCTATTAAAAAAAAATAAATAAACAAAACAGTGTGAGTGTCAGAAAGTCAATAAGATATATAGTAACTCAGAAAATAAGGAACTTAATTTAAATGATTATCTTTTCAAAAAGAGGAAAATAATGACATTTACAAATCAGCCTTCAGCAGTTTCATGTTTGCTCTTTTAGGACCTGAAAAACTATCAAAGTTCAATTTTCCAGGTATACTTTCAATACAGCATTTTATGCCAGTTATATTGGGAAATGCTTCATGAAAAATAAAATTTCATTATTGCAATTGCACATAAAATTTTCTCATAATTTTAATATTCTCCCTTTTTATTTTGTATTCCTTAAATGGTTTGTTGAACCTGAGAATTTGAAGTAAATGCCTAAATGTCAACAGTAAACACTTTTGTAGCATGTGCACAGATATTAGCAACTATATATTATACCCCTTGATACAGGACTTTCCTGAAGGAGATGGTGTGAAATAAAAAAAATGTGAGTACACTGTGAGATGCAGATATGGTATATACACTTTGAGAATAAACAAATGTCAAGTGAATCTTGTTGTCTTTCATACCAAAATCCCCCACACGGAAATGTTACATGGTGTCAGAAGTGAAAACCCACATATACAATAATGGATATTATTCTACCTCCCAGTTGTCCTGGTAAGGAAATGTTGAAAACTATAGAAATTTGAATTGTACCTCATGACATCAGAAAAAATTACTAATCTGGACAAAATAAAATGTGCACATGGTCAGAAAAAAGGCAATAGAGGTATACAATGCCCTAACTGACAGAGAAAAAGGAAATTATAAGGCACTAGTGAGAAAATTTCAGGAATATATTCAAGGCAAGAAAGATATAGCCAATAAACAGTATTGGTTTAACACAAGGACACAGTGAGAAGGTGAAACCTATCCTTTCTCATGGACATACAGACACAAACAGGAAGATGTGAGAATGACCATTTAAAGGACTACAATACATGACTATGCCATTATGGGAATCCAAATTGAAAAGATAGGAAGAAAACTATTAGTTTTGGACAACCCAAATCTGGAAAAAGTAGTAAAATGTCTGCAAAAATGATGAAATAGCTACAAGTCGTACCCTTGAAGTTTCTAACACACTTTCAGTAAACACAATAGGGTTTACTCACAAAATATGACCATATAGCCAGACACAGAAAAATATAAAAATAATCAATAAAAGAAAAATATAAATAACTCAAAAAAAAATAAATACTGACAGAATACAAAGTTTTATTCAAAGGTCAAAGGCAAGGATGTCTACTTATAAAACTTGCACAAGATGTAATAAATGTTATTGAAGCATGCTGGAAAATACTGTCCATCATGCAAAAAGAAATCAAATGGAAAAGTCTGGAGTGATACGAAAAGTAACTGTGCCAACAAAATGGATAAATGCCATGCACATTGTTCATAATCCCAATAGCAAACTGCATATTTGCTTTGACCCTTGTAACAAGGCAATACTATGTGAGTACTTCAAGTTACAAACATGTGAGAAAGTAATGGTGAGAATGTCAGGTGCCACAATATTCTCCAAAAGGATTATGGCAGCTAAAACAAAGAAAGTTAAAAATTGTACTTTCTTTGCATGGAGAACATAGAAATATCAATGAATTATATAATCATATGGGGATGAAACATTCATTTGCACTTACAAACTGTCAAGAGAGTGTTCAACACATGCAGGCACAATAATGTGTCCCTGAACAGATACAAGTGCCAAATCATTGTGTAAGAACAGCTCAAAACCCTTGGACTTCAACCTGACCCAGCCAAAGTAATGTTCATAGTTCATTTCCAACTCAAGAAGGGGCTGGTCACAATATTAGAACAGCAACATGCAGAAGGATAGCTACCATTTGCTTATGCATTATGTGCAATCAGACACACAGAGCAGATATGCTCTGATCAGGCAGGAAGCACTAGCTATACAATTTGCATGTGAAAGATTTATTTATTTATGGAAAATCTGTGCAAATCCAGACAGACCAAAAGTCTCTAGTAATAATATTCCAAAAACCTCTAAATGATTGCTAACTTTGATTGCAACACATATGGCTCAGAGTTCAGTGATATGATCTGCAGATAAAGCCACATAGTGAGAAAGTGCTGCAGATGCACTTTCACATGCCACACTTATAGAGACAGCAGACATGTTTGAAAATGACAGAATCTCAGGTTTCTGCTGTATTAAAATATGTACCTATCATGAATAGGAAAATTAAGGAAATCCAAGTAGACACATTAGCTGACCCTATAATACAAACCCTAAAAATATACATTATCCATGGATGGCCAGCAAGTGTCAAGCAATGTCAGACAGAAATTGCACTATACTTTAACCATTGAATTGAGTTGTTGGTACAACAAAATCTGATACTCAAATGCAAATGCATGGTCATTCCCCTTGGCTTCATGACACAGATCTTTGAGAAGATATAGACATTAGCCATCAAGACTAGAAAAGTGCAAACAATGAGCAACGATATCATTTTTTTGGCCTGGCATGAACAAAGAAATAGATTATATTGTCCAGAAGTGCAACATCTGCCAAACATATAGAGATGCACAGCTGAAACAGCCAATCTTAAGCCATGAAGTACCCATGCAGCCCTGGCAGGAAGTACCAGCACATCTGTGTCATCGCAACAATAGGAACTATCTCATTGTAGTGGATGCTTACTCCAATTACCCAAATATCATCACAGAATGGTGAAGTGGTGATTAAAACTATGCAACACAGATTTAGCAGATTTGGATTTCCACAAGAAGTATTCACAGACAATGTCCCATGCTTCAGTGTCAGTAGAATACCAACAATTTACAACAAATTTTAAATTCAAAATTACGTTACCCACAAGTGAATAGCCTTGCTTAAAACCCAGTGAAAACCATGAAAAACATTCTATGGAAATATGAGGAGCCATTGCTTGGACTCCTAATCCATCACAGAATGCCAAGTAATGACAGATCATCACACACAGAAATGTTAATAGGGAGAAGCAACCTACCCACAACAAATAAACAGAAAAGTGTTGCAAGGGGAAAGCAAAGTACCAAGTAAGGACCACTTTGACTGACAAAGAACTCGAGCTAAAAAAACTAAACCTGGGGAATGCAGTTCATATCCGAGACCCTGTACATAAATAAATGAATCAGGTGTAGCACAAGCAGAAGTAGTTCCCAGATCAAAAAAAGAAGTATTGGAGCAAGTAAAAACCTTTTGATAATTCATGTTAAGAAAAAAGCTAATCGACTTAAGTATTCTTTGTTAAGGATATGGTAAAGTTTATGTTTCATACTTGACATCCAGGTGTTCAATATTCTCTATGCCCACAGGAAGTGGCAGCAAGGTCTTGCCTTTCACCTGGCCAATGACCACATCTACATTCCTTTTAAGGTTATGCACCTGCTGAATGATATCTGCAGATACAACACGGGGCCACTGCTCATGGTTTTTCTCATTTGACAAAATTGGAACCAGGATCTGAAAAGTAAAACATTTGCAAATGTATTTAATCTTCCTGTATTTGTTCAGGTTTTCTTTCTTCACTTCTTCTTTATTCTTTCCTTTAAATGTTAGAGGTAATAACTAGTCTTTAGTCATAATCTATTTTTTCCATCCCAATTTCCTCTAAATTCATCTTTTATATTTTTGATAGTATATAGATTTTTTCTTTTTATAATTTCTTTATTAACATTGTAATGGTTATTATTGACCAAGGCCTCTACTTTAATAATATTTCTCATCCTCTTTTGGAGCTTATAACTATGAAAGCAGTTTTCACATGAGACATTTCAAAAGAGGTTCAATTTGTTACAGGACCAAGATATCAAATAATAAGCAGTAATTTTTCTCAATTTTACATTGAACAGTTTGCATATGTTTAGAAGAGTGGAAGTTATAAAATAAATACATATCTTTCTTAAATACTACTTATGAATAGTAATAAAAAAAAGTAGCATTATATCTTAAGCATAGCAAGATAAAACTATTCATAGCTTTTAAAGTTTCCAGTCAAATTGCATTACCTTATTAGTCTAAGTAAAAATTTTTGATAGATAAATTGATTTTCTTACCTCATCAACAAATGCTGATAAATGATCTAGAGGTGAATATGCCAAGTCTCCATAGAGCAAAGCCTTGCGAAGTGGAGTATCTTTCAAGATAGGATCCTTTGATCTCTTCACAAAGTAGCAAGATTTTCCTTGTGGCGCTTCTGGCCAGTTTGTATCGACCTTGATAATAAAAATTAAATTCTAATTTTAAAAAAAAGAAAAAAAATGATGGCTACATTGTCAGTTAATTGGTAATGGATCCTTTCTACTCTTTATTGTAGCAGAGAAGTGAGTATTTATATGCATTTTCTGTTTTTTTATGGCTACAATGAATAAATCTGGAATGTAAAACACTGAATGGGTGTAAAAGTTTGAATGAATGAAACAAATGAACTTAACTAGAAAAAATGTTTTCAGCTGACATAAAGTAGAAAGAGTATATTGAATCAAATGATAAGTCTGCAGATAAGAAAGTTGGTTCACTATGTTGCGCTAGACAATTTTTCTCACAAGAATCTATCTTGCAAATTTTTAAGTCTACCATTCATCCAGATTGTTCTAGTTCCACGTGCCATGCCTCTTCCGGATGTCTCAGTTATTTTTATCTTTAACTCAATTCTCCAAATTTTGGTTCACCACTGCTGTGGCCTGGTATTGAAGTCACAACTCTTCGGGTCTAGTCACTGGATCTAACCAACGTCTTTATCCACTGTGCCATGTGTCCTTAAGGATTCGATTCGAAATTCCAGTCACCTGAAGAAGGCTGGAATGTACAATGGGTTAAACATTGTGAATATGGCAATGAAAATGAGTATGACAGTCTGAGTAATGTAAATAATGCAAGTAATCATGATACCTCAACTCAGAGATATAGACAGATAACATTTTTTTCTATTGTGTTTTTTGCTTGTGGAACTCTCTTCCATCTTCCTGCTCCTCAACTTTGATCTTTAAAAATTTAAATGCAATGTCAATCATTATCTTCTGTGTTCTTGTTCTTTTACTGTCCTCTGTCCTTAATAGTAGTTTTTTCTCATATGCTCTAACACTCAGTAACCCTTTGCATCTTAGTAGCTTTATTGCCTTGCTTGGCATGAAGTGTTAAAAAATGACAACTGATTAAAATAAATACATAACAACTAGAAAAAGTGAATGCATCATATATTTCATGCAAAGATGAAATAATTGTAAATTTCCTTGTGAAATAAAATTCATTGTGAATATTTAATATTTTTAATTGTTGTGTCAAGTAATCTCTGTAGTCAAGGGGAAAAAACTAGTATAGAACTCTTCCCACATATATTACATTAAATTTTTGCATATCAGCACATTAATAAAAATAAAGGAAAATGTAACTATGTTAATGAAAAATAGTTGAAATAAATAAAATTGTATTTTGGGCTCTTTTTTTTATTTACATAGATTATTTCTAATGACTTTTCAAATTCAGAGAAGTACTTGGAATAATGGCTGGCCACTCATATCTGAGTATACCTGTCTACTAGGACGTCTAGCCAATCCCTGATGCAAAAACCTGCTCAGACACATTTGTGGTTGTTCAACACCCGCAGAGCACACTATTAGTTACAATATAAATTAGTAGGAGAGAGCACATTATCTGGCGTGATCGGTACAAAGCCAGTACAGTCAAATCCTCGGTCATGATATAACTTTCTTTGTACAAGCAATAATTCCGTGGTACTTTTCGGGCAATTTCCATACTGGCATTATCTCTCCAGGACTTCCACTTTTTCGCTGAAAAACAGCATAGCATTGTAGACTCCTCTTTTTCTTACCTATCACCCCTAGCAACAGAACAGTTTATATCTTTTTGCCTTGAATTTTTGAAAAACTCCAACCAATTAAAACCGTACTAGGCGAATCAACCAATCTCATTGGTTCATTACTGAAAGTTCACGTGCAAAAAATCGAAATTGGGAATGCCAAAACTCAAGTTTGCCCAATTTCGACTTTCAGGACTTATAAAAAGTAAACGACAGATCATCCCAAGTTCTCAGTAACAAATACCCACCAACCAGAACTAATGCCATGGACTGGGTCTTGTTTTTGGATTTACAATATTGATGTAAAGACTTTCAGCAAATATTAGTTTTGTGCAGCGAGTGTCTTTTTTTACCGAGGATCATTTTATTTTATTTTTCATTTTCAGTTTAACCGTTTTCCTTTTTGTTTGCTACCAAGGGGTCCTTTCATTCTTTTATTTTATTTCTTTTACTTTTTGGTTAGTCAATTTTTTTAATTTTAAGTTTTAAGTTTACTAGTAAGCAAGTTTTTTTTTTTTTTTTTTTTTGCCTCGTCCCACTTTTTTAACGTTGCCTTTTTACTTTTGTTTTTCGTCACCAAGTGTTTGACTTATTTTTCTCCTTTTGTTTTGTTTGTTTTTAACATGTGACTTGCATTTTAGCAAGCCAAATTTTTATTTTAATTTTTGACCCGCTGTTCGTATTCATGTTTTGCTTTAAAAAAGAAAAAGAAAAAAGAAAATTATAACAAAACGCCATTTGTTAAAAAAAATAAAAATTTTAAACATGAAACACGCTGATGAGTTTAGAGAATTTTTTCCAGCGAAATTATAAAAAGAATATGGCAAAAAAGAAAAATTATAAAGACGCCGCGTATCGCTGGTCTTAAAAAAAATATGAGGAAATGTGATGGGAACTGATTTCCCTGTTGTTCTGAGGCACTGGACATGATGAAAAAAAGGGTACCGGACAAATCTCCTGCTGACCTCAGACATCTGAGCTAGTCGGAAATTTATTTTTAGTGGGAAACGATGGAGGAGGCGTTGAAAACTTTTGAACGTTGCCCCCCGGATGCTAGCAAGAAGGTCCAATGCATTATGGGACATTCTTCTTGCTAAGAGGCCAAAAAATTGTCCCAGAGCATTCTCACAAAATAAAAACTGAGAATGCAGACTGAATAAATTTGGCACTGAAAAAAACTCGTGAAAGTGCATAGAGTACCAGCAGATATTAATTTTCTTTGCACCAATGAAAACTTTTTTTCGCAAAGTATGGCCGATGAATGAGGTCTAGACGGCCATCAAAGTCGGGCATTGCTACTGGAACATTGTGCTTTGAAAATCACACTGGACCGGCAGGGTTTCAGAAAGATCCCAACATCTTAACGTGTAATGAAGAAACAGAGGATGCTTGACTGGTTGTCGAAGGAAGACGACCGTGTTGTTGGATATCAGTAACTCGGGCAATGTCAAAGGAGTGCCCTGCAAGAAGGCAGCACAACAACCCCAACCATAATTATATTATCAGCAACTACACCAATGCACCAGTAGCAGCAGCAACAGCAGCAGCAACAATCCCAAGAAAGCCCTAATAATGAATGGAACTATCTCAGGAGGGCAAGGCATCAAACTAATATAATTTGTGTTGCAGCAACCACAACCACAGCAACAGCAGAAACCACACGAGGATGTTATGTGGTAGCAGCAACACCAAACCACAGCTTTTACAACAACAACAAAAGACAACGACAGCAATCACCACCACCAAAACAACGACAGAAAGCGGTGTCAAAAAAATCTTCCCCCAACATCAAGAACGAGGAAAGAAAGAGACATGCAGAGAAGAGACAGCAACAACACACAGATCCAGAAATTTTAAGTGGAGGAAAATTTATTTACCATGTACTGCCTTGTTGAAGAGGACTTTCAGGAGGAATAAATCATAGAACCAGTGCAAAAAATCCGTAGTTTTAACGAACTGTCGAGGCACATGGACAAAACCAGGTTCCTTTCCGTCCCTGCATGGCCAACCCAGGAAATAATAGCCCCAAAAAAAAATAAAGGTTCTTCCCCTGTCCGTGTTTCTTTCCCACCCCTCAAATTCTTCAATCAATTTGGCACTCCATAAGTCTTTTTATCTTCCACGTCTTCCCCACCCCATCCTGCAAGGGAGAAAAGAAAAAAAAAGAAATTGTTTGGGACCCGAAGCCATTTGTAAGGTGGACCGGGAAGAAGCCAAAAAGAACATGTCCAAACAGAAGCGAGCCATGTTGGGACTCTTACTAAAAATGGACAAGGTCGACGACAAGTCGGTAGAGGACCCCCGGAATTTTCCTCACGCCCCTGGAGTGATTACATTAGTGAGGGATTCCGGGAGCTACCTCAAAGTTTGGAGCCACCTGTTCGAGGCCAAGGAGGCCTATACAAATTTGAGAGTTTTGAGTTGAAAATGCCAATTTAAAAAAAAATAAGACATTTTTTTTTATCTGTGAGGGTTCCTGTGTTGGTCCATCTCTCTCTATATAGGGCTATCAAACTAACCTACCCCACGGACGTCGGGGGGGTATTGTCTTGGGCGGTTGTATGACGACTGAACTGGGAACAGGTAGTCTGGGACAATCCGTCGGGGTCCTGACAGCTCAACGATTTCCACCCCGTATGTGTATAGGCTTTTTGCTTGTTTTTCCTCCTTTTTTTTTTTGCAGGCCTAAACTATGTCTATCAAGATAGCTACACTTAGAATGTGAATGGCTTGAGGGATCGGGGTAAGGCGGTCCGCCTGCTCCGGGATCTCTTGTCCTTGATTTTATTTGTCGCCGCGATCGAAGAGACCCACTTTGTTTGCAGTTCCGATGCGTGTGTGCTGGAGGATGACTTTGTCGTTTATTCAGCATATGGGGACCGGGTTGCCAGAGGAGTTTCTTTGCTTGAAGCGGACTCTCGATGTGAAGGTGGACCTTGTGCATATCGTTTGGTTTATGCGGCCGATATTGCCGTGAAAAGTGGTTCCAGGGGAGCGGGGGTTTATCTCGACCAGGAGGAGGAGCTTTTCGGCGGTTGGGGCCTTTCCTGGTGGATTCAACGAACTTAGTTCTAATGGGGGACTGGAATGCCATCCTGGACCCCAAGTTAGACCGGGGGCGGGGTGCTAGCGGGAGAAGGGGCGATCGGAGCCTGGTCGATCTGATCGATGATTTTGGTCTCGTTGATAGATACCGGTTCGATCACCCCAGGGGAAAAATGTGGACGTGGGCTCTTAGCTGGCCTTGTGACAAGGTGGTTAGCTACCTTGACAGAATGTTAGAGGGAAGGGCCGACACAGATCTGTTAGATTGTCCTACGTTCCACTGGGTAGGCTATTCGGACCACAAACTCATTTGTGCCCGGGTGGCATTAGGAACTAGGCCTAGAATGGCTGGTTACTTGAAGTTCAATCTGTCTTTACTGGACAGGCAGGACTTCCGGGATCAGCTAACTAGCTTAGTGCAGCGGGAGCTAGTGGGGGCGGTTATCCGGAATAGGTGGTGGGGCAGACTTAAAATTAGAATTAGGTCCTTCACCACTGATTTCAGCAAGCGGCTCGCCCTAGATAGAGCTGAAAAGGTGAAGACGCTTTAAGCTAGTTATTTCCGGGCGGTGGCTGGGGGATCCCCTAGAGATAGCCTTAGCTAAGGAGGCCCTGGATCGATCGAATAGCGAGCGGTACATGGGTCAGGTAATTAGACATAGGTTAAGCAAGATGTCTTCCGAAGCCGTGAATATGGGCGCAGAATTGCGCAGGGAAGAGGTCCGTCGAGGTGGCGATCGTTACATTCGTGAAGTCAAATCCCGGAAGGGGCGTACTCTTCGGGCCACTGACGACATGTGCAGAGCGTTTCGGCGCCATTTCGAGAACCAGTTTACCAAGGAGCCTGGTCTCCGTGAGGACGAGTTTCGCAGCTATTTGGCTGACTTTCCTCGGCTTTCGCCGACTGAAGCGGCTAGCTGCGAGGGAAAGATTACGGAGGGCGAAGTCTCCCGGACGCGGCTTTGAAGAAGGTCGGCAGAGGCAAGTCACCCCCGTCTGGATGGTTTGCCCTATGAATTGTAAACTTGAGGCTGTCGCACATCTTTGTTCCAATTTTGACTGCAGTGGTCTTCTGGTTTTTTATTAGAGGTCCATCCCCAATCGGATTACCAGGTTGAAAAAGGGCAAGGGTGTTGGGGGGAACCTTTGATGATTACAGGCCCATAACTCTGCTAAACACAGAGTTAAAGATTTTGGCCAAGATCCTGCAGGGAGCGTTTGCAGTCAGCTGCCGAGTCTCTGTTGGGACCTGAGCAGACTTGTTCTGTGAGGGGTCGAACAATTCAGAGCAACCTGCATCTGATCTGCACGATCATAGAAGGAGTAAAAGACGACGAAGAAGCCGCGCTGATCAATTTGGATCAGTCCAAGGCATTTGATAGGGTCAACCATCGCTACCTTGCTGCTGTCCTGCAGGCCGCTGGATTCGCACCCGACTTCTGCCGCTGGATTAGCCTCCTGTATCTTCTCCCAGTGCTGTGGTACAGGTGAACGGAAAGTCGGACGCGTTTGTGCTGTCTTTTCGGTTCGTCAGGGCTGTCCACTGTCGCCCCTACTTTATGCTTTGGCGTTGGAGCCTCTCCTTCGCCGGTTGAAGGACAGGGCGTGCAGTCCGGCCCTACGCGTGGAATCGCTGTTCCTGGAGGGTGGTCGAGCCAGGGTTTCCGCGTACGCCGATGACGTATCCATTTTCGTGTCGTCCCGCAGCGACATTGAGGCGGTACAGAAGGCGCTTGAACGGTACGAGAAGGTAACAGGTGACCAAGATTAACCGCGACAAGTCTTCCGGCTTGCGGTTAGGTGCCTGGAAGGGGGTTGCGTTCCGGGTCCCTTTTATTGGGACGGACGGTCCAGTCCGCATTCTTGGAGTGTGGTTTGGGCCCGACCTCCAGCTGGAGAAAAATTGGTCTGAGATAAAGGCAAAGGTCGATTCCGCCGTCCAGACTTGGAATCGAAGGCGGTTGTCTGTGAAGGGGGTTGGGCTGAGGTGTGTTCTGAACGTTTTTCCCTCTTGTCCTTTATCGATTGTCCGTACTTCCTCTCTGTAAGACCCATAAGAAGGCGCTCGAGCGATCGCTAGTTCTCCATTTTGTTCTGGGGACGGGTGGTCGACAGACGAGTCTGTATCATGTCTGTCATGTCCATACTGAGGGCCACATCCGTGCCTCGAGGTTGGCTTTCGCCGCATTGACAGGTGGAGATCCGATTATGGAGGGATTGTTAGGGCTCTTCCCTGGCCTTTTACCATCAGTTCCCCATTTGTGGGTTGAGCACAGTCGTAAATCCCCGGGATCAATCGGTTTTCTTCGGAGAGTGTCGATCGGCTTTGAAGGCTGTCCCGGTCCAGTGACCTTTCTCGGCCTAGGAAGGTCTTCTATCGTGAATTAGTGGAGGTGGTCACTAAGGATCCCCTCTGCGGGTGGCTGGGCTTGTCGGAGGAGGAGTTGCGCTCTTTCTGGTCTTGGGCGCCAGCAGCGGGATTACCTCAGTAACCCTGAGTTTTCGCTTACCTGGCGATTGGCTCAGAATCGGCTGCCTCTCAATGACAAGGCCTTCATATGGGGTTTGGGCGGATTTGCCAGACTGTCAATGGTGTGACCTTGGTTTAGAAGAAACGGGTGCACGCCTTCTACCATTGTCCCTGGTCCGACTATGAGACCATGTCGGCGAGCTGACGGTTCGTCTCGATCCCGAAAAGCTCTGCCCATTGATCGACATACGCGTGCGATAATGTGTCGCCCCATATTCTGGGGTGAAACAGATGGTGTTTCTGACATTGCTAGTCGTGTCAAGAATGGTGATTTGGACGACGCGAAGGAGGAAATCTTGCGATACGCAATATTATTTCTCATCAGGATCTGGTTGATTTTTTGAGCATCAGCTCAAGATGAAGATTAGAACTGATAGAAAACGATTTTATTCGAGAGATTTCAACGAAAGGTGGGTTAAAAGAGGCGAGCTTGGTTCGTTTGAATGGGGCCAGCCTTAATTTTCTTTTTAAGTCCCCCTGGTTTACCTACCCTCCCCTAATTAGGAATAAGTGCTTTTGTTTCCTAGTTAATATGTTGTTCCCGGCATGTTCCTGGCCACTTTTTGTTATGATCCATATTGAGATTCCCAATCTCCCCAGTTTTTTATCTCCTTCCTTTTTTCCGTTAGTGATGATTTTTATCATATTCCCACCCCTTTTGGATTCTGCCCCAAAAGGCAGAATACAGCAACCTTTTTTTTATTTTTTTGAGGGTTGACGGGTCCTACTAACATCTATTATTTTTAATTTGACTTATGTTTTGTTATATTTTAGTTTTTTTTCTGGGGTTCATCTCATCCTTCATCCCGAGATTTGTATATCATAATTCATCAAATTTTTATAAGGGCTCGTTTTAAAAAATTATGGTGTAAGGAGGACGTTTGAACGAGTTCTTAAAAAAAACATTACATTACAGTTAAAGGTAGATCAACTCTTTTTCAGGCCTTGTGCCAAAATTTCCTTTAAAAATGAAACACTTAATATCGACAATTATTAATATCAACACAAACTTAAAAAATGACTGTAAATGAACGAACAAAAACATTACAAAGAGAGACATTTTGAAATAAAAAAAAAAATTCACATAATACACATTTCGCCAACATAACATATATCAATTATCCTGTTTGTATATTGTTTTGAATTGTATATAAATGTTATATTAATTTCTAATTGAATATGTCTCGTTCTTAATCGTATTTTAAATTTCGTTTATTTATTTGTTGTGGATGCAGAAAGTCACCAACCTACACAAATTCCTTCTGATTCTTTCAAGCATAATTAATAAATTCTGCACGTCCCCAACAAAATTTGACCCGAACCCAACGTTTCAAGAACAAAAAATTATGACCCCGACGTTCGATGTTCAAAAAATGACGTTCCACCAACAAAATTGGCTGACCCCGACGTTCCAACAAAAAAATTGAAACCTCGACGTTGATGACCCTGAATTTGACGACCCCGACGTTCAAACCAAAAAAAAAAAAACTGAAAAAAACAAATAAACAAAAAACAAAATTGGTAACCACCGACGTGCGAAACCCGAACAAAAAAAAATTGGCGATTCAGACGTGAATCGTTGAAGAAATCAAAATTGGAATCCCGACGTACAAAAAACAAAATTAGTGACGACTCCAACGCGCGGGAAGAAATTAAATCGACACTTGTTGTTTTCGAACCAGCAGACCAAAGATCCAGAAACAAAACTCCGACTTCATAAATGGCTGATCCAGTTCCTCTCACAGAAACGGCAATCAGACTCTCAAATGCCTGCTTTCAACTCAAACGTTCAGACGTGGTTCTTACAACTGGACGCGATATTCCAGGCCAGACACATAACTTCGCAGCAATCAAAATTTGCGTCCGTGGTAGAGAAACTACCCGCGGAGGTAGCGGCTGAAGTAGCCGACATATTAACCTCTCTACCAATAGACAAACCATAATGAGACCCTTAAAACAAGCAATACTACACCGATCTGGTTTTTTCGAGGAAAGAAAAATAAAAGACCTCTTAACAAACGTTACAATTGGAGATTCGAAACCATCTCAATTATTATGACGCATGCAACAACTGTTGGGCGACAACAACATATCAGCCACAGTATTCCGCCAAATGGGGGCTGGACAAATTACCATCAGACATGGTACGAATCTTGGCTGCATTAACAGATGACGTTGACATACAAAAATTGGCAATGATAGCGGACAAAATAGCCAATACTGCCCCGGTACGACAAATTTCCTCAACGGAGACCGTGGATGGCCTTGTGCCAGATGTCAACCAACAAATTCAAAAATTGTCTTCAGAATTGCAAAAAATATCTCTACAACTGCGTGATTTACAAAAACCACACGAAAGTCGGCGTGATAATTTTACGCGACACAGAAACCGTGGTTCAAGATCGACGTCTCGACATAAATACCAACAACGCCGTGATCATTACCAACATGCCAATTGCAGGTACCACGAAAACTTTGGCGCACGCGCGAAGAAATGCCGACCACCATGTTCGTATGAAAAGTCACTTCCAAACAAACAAGCGGGAAACGGACTCGCTGGCATCCAGTAGAGACGTTGGATGTCAGATATTTAAAAACTAATCGTCTCTTTTACATCCACGACAGAGCGAGCGGTTTGAAATTTTTAGTTGACACCAGTGCCCAAATAAGTGTCCTGCCTTTCAAAAATTTCAGCAAACAGACTCTGGTCAAGTATACATCTTTCAAATTACAGGCCGCTAATGGCACTCCGATCACCACGAACCCTAACGCTAGACATCGGCCTGAGACGAGAATTTACGTGCATTTTTACTATCGCGGATGTTGCAATGCCGATTATAGGAGCGGACTTCTTAACCCATTACAAATTATCGGTTGAATTGGCGTCACAAACTTTAACTGACACTAGCACTAATCTACAACGTTGCGGTTTCATTTCCAAGTATTCGACAATCGGTCTGACGACTGTTATACCTACAGCCAATGGCTACGATGAGATAATACGTCAGTACCAATCGCTACTGTCACCGTCAAACAACAAAAATGAACCTGTGAAACACCACGCCACTCATAGTATTAAGACCACAGGACCTCCAGTTCATTCTCAACCTCGCAGACTCCATCCGAGTAAACTAAAAATAGCTCGTGACGAATTTGACAACATGCTCAAACTTGGTGTAATCCGTCCTTCAGCCAGTCCTTATGCCAGCCCTCTACATATGGTTGTTAAAGCTGACTCAGCTAGTTGGCGTCCGTGCGGCGACTACAGGTTACTAAACGCGCAGACCGTCCCGGACAAATACCCAATCCCACATATTAAAGATTTCGCCCTTTCGTTGGAAGGTGCTAAAGTATTCACCAAACTCGATCTTAAAAAGGCATATTACCAGATTCCCATCGAGGAAAATGACATCCGAAAACTGCTATTACAACGCCTTTCGGACTCTTCGAATTTACGAGAATGCCCTTTGGATTGCGTAACGCGGCGCAGTCTTTCCAGAGGCTAATAGACGAAATTCTACGCGGAATGCCTAAACATATGCTTATATAGATGACGTACTCATAGCAAGCAAATCTCATGCAGAACACCATGAACATCTGCACACAGTTCTCAAAAGATTACAACACTACGGTTTAAAACTAAATATTGATAAATGTGTTTTCGCAGTACCGAGTTTGACTTTCCTCAGGCATATTTTAGACCAGCATGGATTGTCTCCCTTGGATCAGAAAATTACAGCGATCGCTAATTATCCTCCACCTTCCACATTGAAGCAATTGAGGAGATTTTTGGGGATGATTAACTATTATCGACAGTTCATCCCAAATTGTGCGTCAATTTTATTACCACTGACGAATATCTTGTCTCTGCATAAAAGAAAAAAAAATCGCAGATATCACTATCACAAGATGAGCTACGATCATTTCAAAATGCAAAAGATGCACTACAGAACTGTACCAAACTAACTTACATTAATTCATCGGAGAAAGCTAACCTCACCTTAACGACAGATGCATCAGCCGACACAGTTGGCGCTGTGTTGCACCAAATTACTGATGGCATCAAAGCACCTTTGTCTTTTTTCTCATTAAAGCTAAATGCTACACAGAAGAAATATAGCACTTTTTCAAGAGAATTACTTGCCGTTTATTTGGCGATACGGCATTATCGACACATCCTTGAGGGTAGAGACTTTATCATTCTCACAGATCATAAGCCGTTAACGTATGCACTGCACGCGAAGTCCGATAAAATAAACCCGAGAGATATTCGCTACCTGGATTACATCAGTCAATTTACATCGGACATTCGATTCGTAAAAGGTCAACATAATACTGTTGCAGATGCATTATCGAGATCTACACTCGACGTGATACAGTCACCCTCACTCGAATTTGACACACTTGCTGAAGAACAGTTGAGTGACGACACACTCCCTTCAGTGCAGGCAGATACCTCTTTGAAATTAGAAAACGTCCACTACCTTTCACCGACAAGCTTGTTTATTGTGATATCTCAACAGGCAACCCTCGACCCTACCTGCCTCCGTCGATGAGAAAAAACAGTTTTCGATCACTTTCATTCACCAGCTCACCCTGGAGCGAAGGCTACGCTGCGGACCATATCTGACAGATTCGTCTGGCCCGGTATGGCTTCCGACGTGAAACAGTGGTCCCGCACGTGCCAGCGTTGCCAGGCAACAAAGATAAGTCGTCATACGAAAAGCACCATCGTCAACCTTTGCGGCCCCTGATGGTCGTTTTACTCATATACACGCCGACCTTGTGGGTCCGCTTGACAGGATCAATGGATACGAATATATCCTGACTATCGTAGATCGCTTCACACGATGGCCGGTGGCCGTACCGCTATCAACGATAACAGCAGAAGCGGTAGCCAACGCTATCTTTCAGAATTGGATTTCAATATTTGGATGCCCTGCGGTTATTACTACCGACAGAGGTCGGCAGTTCCAGCCGACTTTATTTACTGAGTTTGTCAATTTTCTCGGAATTAAACACATTTCTACTACGGCATATCATCCCTGCAGCAACGGATTAGTAGAACGTTTTCATCGACAGCTCAAGTACGCATTAACAGCGTCTACCAGTGCTCGTATATGGGTAGATAAGCTACCATTTGTGATGCTTGCGCTACGAAATAGAATCAAATTAGATCTGAAATGTACCAGTGCGGAGTTGGTATTCGGGAAACCAAAAACCCTTCTAGGACAAATCTTTCACAATGTTACGGATTCTACCCCTACCAGTTATTTTGTGTCCGATCTTTAACAAAAAATGACGGAAATAATATATACGCCCACACGGGTTTACAAGAAACCGTATTACGTGCCAATTGACTTAAATTCCTCAGAATACGTTTTCCTGCGTCGTGACGCAGTTCGGAAACCTCTAACACCGAACAATACTGGACCACATCTGGTAATCTCCAGAACACCTAAGTATTTTGTAATAGACATTGCTGGTAAACAAAATACTGTCAGTATCTACAGACGCAAACCAGCATACGTACAGTGTGATGACGTCATTCAAACACCACTAAACCCAACAGCACCAGAGCAATCAAACACACAAACGACTACTAAAGACATGTCTCCATCAACCCAGTCTACCCGCACGAAGTCGGGCAGACATGTTAATTGGCCAGCTAAATTTCGCACATACATTACATATTAATGCCCATTGACATAGCCATTAATCTAGGGGAGGTATTGTAGACTCGTCCTTTTTTACCTTTCACCCCTAGTAAACAGAACAGTCTATATCTTACGCCTACGTACGGAAAACTTCAACCAATTAAAACTGCACTAGGCGAAACAAACAATCTCATTGGTTCATCACTGAAAGTTCACGTGCAGAACGAAATTGCGCCAAAACTCAAAGTGAGCCACCTTTTGGACTTTCAAAACTTATAAAAAAAACGCTGACTGCCCCCAAGCAGTCAGTAACAAACACCCACAGAGAAATTGCCAAAATACTCCACGTCACTCGAAATCACGATTTTACCGCTCAAAAATACATCATCGCTGACTCATTCCCGATTGAAAACTTAATCAACTCTGTGGATATCAATTCTCAACATTGCTTATCTAAAGTGAATTATATTCGCTACCTATTAAGTAAACATCAACGTGCGAACGACCTTAAAAAAACATTACATTACAGTTAAAGGTAGATCACTCTTAAAAACTCCTTCTAAAAAAGACACTTAATATCGACAATTATTAATATCAACACAAACTTAAAAAGACTGTAAATGAACGAACAATTACAAAGAGAGACATTCTGAAATCAAAAAAACCTCATACACATTTCGCCAACATAACATATATCAATTATCCTGTTTGTATATTGTTTTTGAATTGTATATAAATGTTATATTAATTTCTAATTGAATATGTCTCGTTCTTAATCGTATTTTAAATTTCGTTTATTTATTTGTTGTGGATGCAGAAAGTCACGCAACCTACACAAATTCCTTCTGATTCTTAAAGACCAGAGTATCTTTTTTTTTATTAATTTTTTAGTCATTTCTACAGCACGTTCGAAATTTTGTTTAAAAATCTTGTTCTTTTTTTGTGTGTCAGCGGTTGACGTAATATTTGCGATTAATTTTTATTTTTTAGCACCTTTTTTCCGGTGAAAAACACATTAATTTGAAAATTCTTGAAAAATTAAATAACCTTCAGATTTTAATTAAATTTTCAGGACTTATTCACAAATGAATTAAATTATTTGAAAGATTTTTTTTTAAAGTCTTGGTAAAAAATATTTGTTTTCATGAAATTTCGATAAAATCCCAAAATTTGTTTTATTAATTAAAAGCAGTATTATCTGGAGAATGTAAATCATCATTTTTATTTCAAATCCTTTCTCGAAAATCTCGCCGAGTCGTAAGATAAAATAATGAAATTAAGGAAAAAGCAATGGCATTTAGAAAAGCTTTTAAATGCTTTTATAAATAATATTTATTAAGGACATTATTGTTTTAAGAAATTTTTTTTCGATGAATAATGAATTTTTACAAAAATTGGTTTCATCTTTTAAAATTTTGATTATAAAATAATTTATAATATTATAAGTTATCGTTTAAAATTCTTCATTAGTTCAATAGGTGATATTGTTAGTAAAAGAGAAAACTATATTTGCAAATCAAAAATCGAAAAACAATAAAAATTGTTTACATCCAATATTTAATTTTTTTAATAAAATATTACGTAACTTGCTCGTTTGAAAGTATGGTCGACCATACACGACATAATCAGAAAATAATTACTATAGTAAATTTAAATTCAACATTATCTTAAAACTAGCTAACAACGGAGAATATTTTCTAACATTTTTAAGATTACTGAGTACTTAAAAATTATATAAAAAAGGTGCTCATCCGTCATTTTCTTAAATTATGCTTTAATAAAATAAAGTCTAGAACAACAGAAAAAGTGTTGACAAATTTTTATCATCGTTTATCAAGCGACAGTGATAGGCGCGTAATTATCACTATCGTTTGTTTTAAAAATTTCATTTTTCTGTCATTTTGAACTTTTGAAGTAAATATTTTTTTTTCAAATCAGATTTAATTATACTTTAGTTTAAATCAGCTAATATTCCCCAAATAAAGTTTCAGAAATGTATATTTTAATTTTGGAAAAAATTTAAAACCCAGAATTAACTTTTGTTTACAAATGTTTCAAAAATGGCCAATTTTGTGAAAGCGAGCAAAAAGTTGATATTCCAATATCAATCTATTTGAAATACGCCAGAGTATTTTGCTTACTGGAAATAGTAAATCTAATCATTTAGTTTTCAATTAAAGCTAAAATGAAATCTTCAAGAATGCTTTTTCATTTTAAAAAATTCATTTTAAAACTGAGGTATCGAAAATTCAGTGGAGGTACACCTGTTAGTTACCTTCCAATTGGTGTGATTTGAACCCGGGTCTCATCAACGGAAACCGAACATTCTACGGTAAACCACACGACCACTTTTTATTTTATTTTATTTTGCTTATGGATTCAGAATACGAGGCGTTTTAAAAAAGAAATTAGGGTTTGGTATGCAGAAATAGTTGGAAACTAAAAATTTAACTTATCCTATCCGTTACATTCAGACATAATTAAAAATTCAATGATCATCAATCAATAATTTGTTGAAAAAATTATGAAGAAAAAAAAAAAAAAAAAAGAGAGAGAAAAAAGTGGTTTAAAACATAAGTAAGTTAGTGTATAAAATTCAAGATGTACATCTTGGGCCAGTCTTCAATATTTTTGACCCAATAAGAATGTTTTTTTCTTTTCCAGTTGTTAAATTTTTCTTCTTGTTTAGTTTACCTGCAAAGATCCGGATGACGTACAAGTGAAAATCAGTGGAGAACAGTCAGTCTTTTCCAAAAAGTCATTGATTAGAATTTTAGTTTCTTCTATGTTGTAAATCTTAATCCATTTGTCTGGTTTTTGATTGAATGTTTTCAGTACATATTCAGCCACGAAAATCACCCTGGGGTCTGCAATGTCGGATAATTCTGTCGAGCCCGTCATTAGGAATTGTTTTTCTTTCTTTAGGGTGAGGAAATGGATAAATTTGTCACTGAGTATTACTTAATTTACAAACAACATAAAATGTTTTTGGAATTTGAGAATGAAAAGTTCTTTTTCACATGAGTTTTCATAAGTGTTTTAGCGTTCATAGTAACTGTTACTATGGGGACGGTGAGTAAGTTACGAGAAGTTACGATGATTGCCGAACATCGGCGACACAACCATAGCAACACTTCAATAACATTGTTTTTTTCCTTTCTTCTTCTGTTCTATTTCTTTCTCTTCTCTCTTTTCAATTGCTTTTTTTTGTTCAGTAAAACAAATATTTAGAAAGTCAGCTTGTCATCAATGTTTTTGTAAACTTAAACACCGTCATTTCCACATTTATTTCACTAAAACAAACAAAACAAGTGTTACACTAAAATAAAAAAAAAACAGTTCGTTAAGCAACAAGAAAAATGTTATTAATTTTTTTTTAAAGATTGTGTAACGTTTTTATTTTATTCATCTATTTTAATCATTTGACACCAAGCAAGGCAATATAACTACTAAGGACGCAAGCGGGCTGGTTAATTAGTGTGAATATGAGAAAAAGAAAAAATTATTAAGGAGAGAGAACATTATTAACATAACAATATAAATGAACAGGAATTGTAAGACAGAAAGAAGATAACGACTGACCGCGCCTTTAAATTTTTAAAGATTTAATTTATTTTTCTAGTGAAAAGTTACAAAAATTAATTTGCATTTTTTCAAGTTGATTTAATTGCTTTTATTTTGTTTTGTTTTTTAACCACAATGTTTTTTTGAGGTACACCATCTGCGTGGAAGAAAGGTCTCTCTTGGAATAAAAAAGGACACCGAACTTCTAGATAACTCTAGGAACAACTCTAGGAAATATAATAATCACTTTCAAAATTACATAAGATATAACCTTCTAATTCAACACTTTAACTAATTTCAAAGAGAGTGTGCGAGTCTATCACGCACGAACATATACACATACATACAAATACAAATCACATACAATGCCAAGCATTCATTGGTTAATTAATCACCACTACGTTATTATAGACAATTTACAAATCGCAAATCTTTTAAGAACGGTCATTATAAGAGACTCTCATGAACATTATTCCAGTGAACTTTGAAATGTACTAAATTAAAATAACAGAAAAGAGAGACAACTCTTGGTTATTTCAACATTTTACTTAAATACATGCTTTATTTCACATCGTTGTTTGATATTGTACATCTTGTTAAATACATATTTTATGTGTAACAATGTCTTTGGCTTATCCTTTTCTGCGTCAGCCCTGTTTCGTAATCTAAAGTTAAATTAATGTGAAGTCCGCCACAATAGTTATATAGTTCCATACACCAAATTAATTGCTACAGACAATTTTTCATAATTTTACATTGTATTTGGTAATGTAATGAGTACAAAATGTTAATGCAAAGGAAAAAAAAACAAAGATTTAATTTTCAACAGCGTGTATTTTTACATTTTTTTACCCATTACCAAATACAATATAATTAGTTGTTTGAAAGGTGGCACAAATTGTTAATAATAGGTAGTTCTTCAGTTGTTGTTGGTAAGGGAAGCGATAGGTTTGGGTATTGTCGGTAGGACTGGGAGTTGACTGAATTCTTTGGTTGGTTGGTTGGTTGGTTGGTTGAGGTTACTGATGATATCAGGAGATAGGACTGGGCGGATTAGTGTGTTGCGGAATTTGAGCTAATTGGATGTATCAGAAGGTGAAATTGTGTGAAAGCTTAAAAATTTGCGCGTTCGTTAAACATTCGTCCACAACAAATAAAATAAACATTTGAAGGCAATTCAATTGGAAGAAATCAACGTAGTTATAGATTTCAATAAATAACAATAACATGCATTTGTAGTGGTGTTGTAAGATATGTTGGCTAGGGTCACCGTGAAATGCAAAAGCAATCAAGAAGGAAAGCTGTGTTCTTATAAACAACACTCCACATGAAATATGCACAAAATATATGAGAGAAATAAGTCAAGCTCCATGAATAAATATTTGTATTATCAACAATAATGTACAAACATCCACAATAAGCATGAAAAAGTTACTTCCCTTTGTCTGTAATAAAAAGGGTGAATGCACTTAAGTAATGTTGCGTTACAATATTAAAAGTTAATTAATTATAAAGTTCAATTAATGTTCTTAGCTCAATGAAGAATAATTCCACAGTCTGTTTGTGAGTGTGAAAAGACGTAATGTGCACAAGTGATATTAATAGAAGTTAATATAAGATTACTCGAATGAGTAATAACTAAGAATTAAGTTATATAGAACCGTGCAGAGAATTCAGAGAATTGAACTGCTACAATATTTATTGTCGCAAATACAACAAATGTGGCACAAGGCCAAAAGGGGGTTGGGTGAAAAGGACGGTCATCACTTGTCTTAATATAAAACTTAGCTAGCCACAACCACTGACCCTATCATACAAAACAACATTCCTATCACCAAAACAACACATTTAAGTTAACCATACCTTTCATACTACATCCACCAAAATACATCTTCGTCTCAATGAAAATCCTAAATAGTCCCCTTATGTACAAATATTGTTCGTGGGGGGAGGGGCATAAAAAACAACAATTTTTTAAAAGATCCCCAATGAGTATATACAATATGACAGAAAATATTTACAAGAAACTAAAAAAAAGGGAGTTAGTAATAAAACCCCCCACAAACCTTAAATGTGGCAGAAATATCAGTTAACCGGACGAAATCGATGTGGAACTATGAAAATAAAGAAAAACATTCATTCCTCCAAAGTATTCACACAGACACACACACATTCATACACAACAACAAATACGAAAAACACACACACGAAACGAAAGGCGCTCCGCATCCACCAGAGAACTGATATCACTGACCACCTAAACGAGGGAGGGGATGGGGAGTTAAACTAAAGGAAAAAAAAGTGGAGACAGAAATAAAAAATAACCGATGAGCAAACACACCCTAGCTAAATTTACCGAACAAGGAGAGAAAAACTAAAAAATCAACTCCAACAACCTAAACTAGCCTACTGTTGGGAAGGGTTGCCCATGTTCAACCCAGGAAAACAATATCCTGATGCCTAACCGGCATCAAAATGCCACTTCAAGTCAACCCCTTTTACTCGACACAAGACGCGCAAGATGCACCCACCTTTTGCCAAATTCTGATGAAGGGAGCCGCCGCCTTTCCGTTCTAATCTTGAATTTAACCTGATGTTTAAAGTATAAGATCAGTTGGGAAGAGGTGAACTTCTCGCCATCATAGAATTCCTTCTGACGCGTCGTCCAAATCACGACTCTAGTAAGCAACAGAACACATAGTGTTCAGCCTTCGTCAACTGCGGCACCACATTGCCACAGACAGAACTGGCTTCAAGGACAAAGATCTTTCCCTGCAGCATGCGAACCATGAGGCCTTCAGCAAACTTGCACAACGGCACTACCGTCCTGCACTGAAAAAAGGCGTGACCAATGGTCTCGACTTCCCCAGTACAGCGACGACAGTTTGGATATTTCTCCAAGCCTGCTGAACAAAGTCTCTTGCCGACCCAGAGGGCCCCACGAATCACCATCCAGGTGAGTGATGCCTCATCATTATTGAGGCATTTCAACCCAGGCGCCCAAGGCCATATCGAGCGAGCCTCCTGTTTCGTAAGACCGAGCTCGCCAATCAGATCATCTTGAACGGCCCCCCTAACTAACAGTCGATACAATGCCTTACGAGACAACGCCTGGGCGTTGGAGAGGCCATCCGACGCCCGTAAGAGGAGTTTCAGAGCACGACGACATTCGGGGTAGAAGGAGCACTCGGCTCGGGGTGTACTACCGGCCTCCTCCTCGCACGAGTGCACACTTCTCAGGGATGGGAAATGTTTACGGACGTCCTCTTTCCAGAAGGCATCCACCTCATCCGATCCGCGACACATTCGGTCTAGAAAGGTAATGCGAAGCATATGTTGACGAATCTCAATGCTAGGCATACCCAGACCGCCCTCAGAGGGATGAAGGCAACAGATCTCGCGAGATACCATAGGGGCCTTGTCTCACCACAAGAAAGAGAACAAGGTCCGAACTAATAATATTAGTTTGGCATACGGGAGTGGAAGTACAGAGAGTCGGTACAGGAGAATCGGATAGATGTGTGAAACACATACTTCCGCCCTTCCCTTCAGGGAAAGGCTCCTTCGAGACCACAGATTAACCGCGATCTCGGCCTTCCCTTGTACCTCCGACCAATTCATTTCCAACTGGAGATCAGGACCGAACAAGACACCGAATACCTTGATCGGCCCATCCGTCCAGAGGAAAGGTCCGGGAAGAGAAACTCCCTTCCACGCCCCCAACCGTAAGCCAACAGACTTATCGCGGTTGATCTTGGCCCCTGTCACCATCTCATACCCACTGATCTCTTTGCTGACTTCGTCAATCTCGGCCCTGCTCGACACAAGAACCGAAACGTCGTCAGCATAGGCCGAATACCTGGCTGAGGTGGTAGCACCAGGCAGGGCAATTCCGCGCAGGACCGGATTCGCCTTTAACTTGCGAAGGAATGGTTCCAACGCAAGAACGTAAAGTAAAGGCGAGAGCGGACAACGTTGACGAATGGAGCGAGACAATACGAAAGGCTTCGATCTTACCCCATTCACCTCCACCAGCGCCCCGGGGGTCGCATACAAAAGTCGGATCCAGGGGCGAAAGTCGGCTCCGAAACCGGCCGCCGAAAGGACAGCCTCCAGAAAACGATGGTCAACCCTATCGAAGGCCTTGGACTGATCTAAATTGATCAGCGCAGCTTCACTGTCGACTTTTTCTAAGATCAAGCGTACCATATGAAGGTTATCCTGAATAGTCCTGCCCTTCACAGCACAAGTCTATTCGGAGCCAATCAGACTAGACAGGACAAGCTGCAAACGGTTGGCTAAGATCTTCGCCAAAATCTCTAACTCAGTGTTTAACATGGTTAAAGGGCGAAAATTCCCTAACCCATCCCCACCGTTCTTGTCCTTACGCAGCAACTTGATCACACCCCTGGTGAAGCGTGGAGTTATAGCCCCCTGCTTCATCCAGTGGTTGAAAATCAGTTTCAGCAAAGGAACAAAAACGGGCAACTGCCTCAAGTAAACTTCGTAGGGAAGACCATCCAGTCCTGGAGATTTATCCAGGTCAACCTGCTTCAGCGCATCCCAGATTTCCGACTCTGTAATGGCACCCTCGCACCTAGCCGCATCAGCTGTCTCGAGTCGGCTAAATAGGCGTCGAACTGAGCAGAGCTCAGACCGGGCTCCCT